CCCCCAGCCCCCGCCCTTTCTCCCTGAAATTAACCACAATCCATTATTTCATGTACTATATGATCATGTCATTTGGGAGCAATAAGTGACCACATTTCCTCAACTTTATCACCACTATTCTTGATTCTCTGTTGTTAAATTCACTCCATTCCTAATTTCTATTTTGAGCACATATGCTGGCCTTTAATTTGCAATTTACATGGATGATAGGGTGCTATTCAGAAACCTGTTTCTGCTGCCTTTGTGGTTTTCACCTCACCTCATGTGGTCATTAGGATGAACAGCATATAATTAACTAAATTCATGTAAAGCCCTGAATTGCAAATGCTTGTCTGTACAACTAGTTTCTTAAAAAAATAGAGGAAATCCAAACCTAACCAAAACAAAACTTCAGTGGTTTTAACGAACTGTAAGAAACAGTTTCTGTTTTCTTGGTAGGTGATACTTTGGGCTGTATTCATCCGACCTACTTATTTATTTTATCAGTGATTACACTTGTGTGTCACTCCTTGTAGGTTAAAAATTATAAGATCTATTTGTGGGCAAGCAGCCAACACTGAAGCCTATTTAGCTTGTCTACTTAGCTGAAGCCATATGGGCACAAAATTACTTTCCTGTTGCCTGTAAAATATTTGCCAAAAAGTAAGATTTTTTTTTCTTTTCTTTTTTACAATAACATTTCTACAAAAGATACTATTTGTTGGGTGCTGCAGTTTGAGTTTGTTGCATTATACCCAAAGTAAAACTATATGTTGGAAATAGGAGCTAGATGTGGAGGTTATAAGTGAAGCTTCGAGCTGAGGACTTTCTTGATGGTGAAATACTATCTTGAGAGGTTGGTTAACTTTGTTAAACAACAGAAGAAAATCTAAAAGACTGTCCATAAAGGAGGAATTATTCTGATACTATTTCCTGTAGACTTTGTTTTCTAACTTTTGCCTGAAACTTCAGTTTCTCGGACACTTTCAAATACCAGGGATGATTTTCTTAATAATTCAGAATAATTCGGTATGGCAGCTCTTAGAAATTGGCTTAGATTGGCACATGTACAAGGGAGAGGGAAAAGTCTACAGACCCTGGAGAGGGAGAAGAAGGATAACTTGTGGTCTCGGCGCTCTGTAACGTCCCCGAGGTCTATGCTGTTTCTGTGATTGCTTTGCTGAACGGAGAATGTTTGGACTCTCCCACCTGTGGTTTACCTTCTGGCCAAAGTCTTCTGAGGCCATTCATTATCGTGGTGGCTTTTGCACGAACAGAAAGATTCAGTCTTTTACTCCACAGGCTGGAACACTCAGCCTTCGTGTTCCCCGTGATTGTGTAAAGGAGCAGATAAGGGAAGTTGTGGGGAGCTGGGGATGCTGGGGTGGAGTTGTGTCATTGAGTTACATCCCAGCTACACGGCTGCCTATTGCTGAGAAGGAGGTGGAGAATGACAGTCTGTGTTGAGCGTCGCAATAATCTGCTGGGCTGCAGTGCTCAGTATCATAGGGGAGGTAATTTATATTAATAAAGTGTACAGCATAGAAAAAAATGCTGTACCTCTTGGAATTCCTCCAAAATGTAGTGATAAAACCCAATATGTGGGCTTTGCGGTGCTTTCAATTTCTTCTAGGCTTCTAAGCAAAACCATTTTTTATTTTAATATTGTATTTTATGCTTCTGAATTTCTTCCTTATCCTGTCGACCTGTGTGTGGGTCTTACTAAATAATCCCTGTCAAGCAGGATTGTGTTGCAATAAACTAGGCAGAGTTCTGTTAAATTTGATGGCTGAGTTGATACGCCATTCAGAGATTATTCCTAAACTTAAAAAGTTTTTGTTTGTTTGTTTTAAACAAGACTGTTTTTTGTTTGACAGGTATCCTATAAGAAGGATGTGCAAGATACTCATAGATACACTGAAGTGCTGAACAGGCCAGACATAAAGACAGCAACTGAGTTAACAAAGATAATAAGTGATGTATGTTCTCCTGTTACTCTATCTGTATTTTTTAGACATGATATTTTATTTATTCCAATTTCAGTTGGCTTTTTTAGAATGCTGCTGTAATTCTCAAACGTCATGAGCAGAAAACTTGCAACCCCAAATCTGATATGGAGGTTTGATTTAAAAAAAGACCAAAACCCAACGAAATAAAACTCTTTGCCTGGTGTGTTACAAAGTTACGGGTTTCCTCTGATTTGATGGACGAACCTTTGCAATTATTGGTCATTGATCTAAAGACATCGTTAAGCTTACTAAAGTTGGTTTTGTTTCAGCTTTATTCGTGATAACCATTCTCAAAATAAGTCACATGCCCGTAGGCTATACTGCTCTTCAGAAGACATACCAAGCTCTTTTTTCACCTCACTACAAGGGATGCTCACATCCCGGGACTCCCCTTCCTCCTTCCATCTCAGCCACCAGCAACAGGGAGATGCAATTCCCCTCTGTCCTCCCGAGAGCTGGGCAAACACACCGCCTCTTGCATGGGGGGTCTCCTCCCCAAACTCCCCTCTCAGATTATTTTCTCTCCGACTGTGACATCTGCTAACAGATAGGTCAAGGAGCAGTTTGAGAAGCAGCCATGTGTGATGCAGTTTAATATTTTGTTGTAGGTAACTCAAACAATGCGTATATTAAAAGCCCTGAGCCAAGATTTTAAGTAACTGCTGGTACTTTCATGTGAGACTGACGAAGCACCCATGGAGGGACGGTTTTAAGAGAGCTGAGATTCACCTTTTGAATATTCAGGATTTTCTGAAAACCAAAGAACTTCTGCTAAGTCTTACGTTCAACACCCAATTTACTAATTGCTGTTCAAGCCCCCTTTGAGTTGGAATGGCTTTGGCACTTTTATTTCCCTCACTGTGCTGTTATGACGTGTCCTTGCTGATTCACAGCGCCTGAGTAATGCAACCCGCCTATTTTAGGCAGTGGGTAATTTTGTGAATATCGCAGAGCGCCCATTGTCGATTCATCTGTGCTGATTCCTAATGCACTGGGGAAAAAAATTGCAGCAATTTGCATGGGAGGCAGTTCAGCTGGAAAGATCACATAACACCAGCCCTGTGGGACTAATTCCGCTCGGTTACACCAATGCAACCTCACTGACATCCAGCAAGATTGCAGTGGTAAAACTGAGAGTGGAATTTGACCTTAAATTTCAAAAAAAGCTGCCCCTCAGCCTAGTTTTGTTTCAAGGCTAGTTTCAGCTGCTACAAATAATCTTGTGTAAACTGTAGACCCTGCTGTAAGAAATGCTGAGCCACTCTAACTCCTCCTGCCTTGATTGGGAGAAGAATATTTCTCAGGCTTAAGCTATGCATTTGGTTGAAGTTGAATTTTGTGGAAGCCGTGCATTGTGTTTTACAATAAATAAATATTATGTGTTGTTAAGGAGCTGAAGCCTGAACAGGGTTGTTTTGTTTTTTTTTCAGAAAAGCTCTGAAAGTAGTGTCAGTGCAGATCACTAAATAAGGCTTTTCTGCTAGCTTTAATGCTTAAATTTATCTTGATAAAACAAAAGCAAACAATTTAATAGTGATTCATATTCGTTTTTCTTAAGGCTGCGTACAAGAAAGGAAGGGGAGAGATGAATAAGGAGCCTGCTGTGCTTGGAAGACCAGATTTTGAACACGCTAAAGGAGTTTCTAAACTGTTAAGCCAAGTAAGATTCTCTGTCATTTTACAATGACTTCATTCAGATATCTTGTTCCTAGTAATGCAAGAAAAAATTTAGATTTTTAGATTATTATCTCTAATTGCATGAGCTGCATTATGTTCTCAAACTCTTTTCATACAGTATTGCAATGACTTGTAAATTTAAGATTCTTAGGAAACAGAATACACATTTTTATGTAAAGATACAATGAACTTTGTTACAACTTCTTTTGTGGAGATGGTGTATATTTACACAGATTATCTAGGATTTCTAAAAATATTGACTGTATGTAATATAAAGGCAAATTTTGCTACTCATTCAGTTTGAGTGGAACCTTACTCTGTGATTAATCCCACTGAAGTAACTGAGGTCTTTTGTGTAGCTGCTCACTAATGTGAGTAATGGGATCTGAATTTGGCCTGACATGCGAATGGCCTGCCTTCCCATCCCCGGAAAGGGAACCTTTTATGTACTGCTTTCTGTTACATATTAACCTTAAAAGAAAAAAAAAAAAAAAGACGAAGAAAAATGGAGGGATTACTTTAGTCCATAAATAAAATGATAGCTGCAAACACAAATATTCCCTCTTTTCCTCTTGTGAGTCTTCTGCTCATAAGATCTACTCGTAAGACTCTAGTACAGATCAGCCTGACATCACGAGAAGGGATTTTTGACTGCTGACCTGTTTGGGTTTTTTCCTGGTTTTCTTTTTTTCTGGAATAGCTCTTTAATAGTGCCTTGCATAATCCTCGCTAGTCATCCTGCCAGGCTACACTTAGAACTTTTGTAAACCTAGGAACAAATTCTTCCCAGAACTAGAAAAAAAAAACACCCAAGTGTAGTGGGGTATACACTACAACAGTTTGAAAATCAGTGTGATTTGGCTGGACAGTAAACATCTTCCCCAGAACTGGGACAAAATGAGAATAATGCGTCATAAAGAGCAAGCTGCAACACAGTGCAGTGTCTGCTTGCAGAGGTTGAGCTTCTTTTGCTGTCACCAAACGCTGTCGTTAGATACCTGCTACACGATTTGCTGTTACACACTGAACCATCATTCACTTTGCAGCGTTAATACTGCACAAAGGGAAAAAGAAGAAAATAGATGTTTTTTTATCGCTTTGTTAATGATGTGTTCAGAATCGAAATTAGTTTGTGTTTTCCAAGTAGGTTTCTTTCTTCCATTTTTTAATGGATCACGCGCTCATTCCTCTGTTGATGGGCGAGTCTGGTAAGAGATTCTTCAGTGTTTGGCCTCGTGCAGGCTTGGAAGTCAAGCCCGTGCTTTCTAGGAAAAGCTAGTGCTCTGCTGCTGTGGCTTAGAGGAAAGGGAGCTGTCTGTCATTTAGCTTTTAATGGATCACGCGCTCATTCCTCTGTTGATGGGCGAGTCTGGTAAGAGATTCTTCAGTGTTTGGCCTCGTGCAGGCTTGGAAGTCAAGCCCGTGCTTTCTAGGAAAAGCTAGTGCTCTGCTGCTGTGGCTTAGAGGAAAGGGAGCTGTCTGTCATTTAGCAAGCACCTTTCGTGGTTTTTAAAAGGGTTCGTATCTAAATTTAGTGTGGGATATCCTTTATTTCTACTCAGTGGCTGTCTACGTGCTCCTTGCAGCCTGTTTCAGAATCTGGTGGGCTTGCAGCTGCCTGACATGGCAAATGGGACCACAGCAGCTCCCTTTCCGACAGCCCTCCACGTCTCTCTAAGCCTGGTAGCCCTGAGGTTGTGGCCAACAATTGCAACAATCCCAAAATACCAGCTGGATCGTGGGGTCCTGCAGGCTGGTGCTGAGCCAGCTGCATCAACGCACTCTTTATCTTGTTTTTATTAGATGTGCTTTTCCTCTTGGACAATGCATGCTGCATCTGCAAAAGCTTCATAATAGAGTCTCTTCACTGCCAGGGGCTGGGGTGACAGCAGTTCCAGTCCAGATCTTTCTGCAGAAGGGAGGGTTTGGTGTGAAATTTTAAATTCTTTAGAGAGCCCCAATAGTGCAGAAAGCATGGCAGGAAGAGAGGGAGTTGGTGACAGTTTATTTGTAAAGAAGACCCTCAGTAAACCTCGGTAGTCCAAACTCTGCAGCCACTGGGCCTGGATGGAGGTTTTGGGATCCTTCCTTCTCTTGTCCACTCCTCAGTGTACACTGTGGTGGCTGCTTGCAGTGTGTGTGCCCTTGTTGCCAAGAAGGCCAAGGGCATCCTGGGGGGCATCAGGAAGAGTGTGAGCAGCAGGTCAGGAGAGGTCGCCCTGCCCCTCTGCTCTGCCCTGGGGAGGCCCCATCTGGAGCACTGGGTCCAGTTCTGGGCTCCCCAGTTCCAGAAGGACAGGGAACTGCTGGAGAGGGTACAGCGAAGGGCCATGAAGAGGATTAGGGGCCTGGAGCATCTCTCTTATGAGGAGAGGCTGAGGGACTTGGGTCTCTTTAGTCTGGAGAAGGGAAGACTGAGGGGGGATCTGATCAATGCCTATAAATACTTAAAGGGAGGGTGTCAAGAGGATGGGGCCGGTCTTTTTTCAGTGGTGCCCAGTGACAGGACAAGAGGAAATGGGCACAAACTTGAATATAAGAAGTTCATAATTAATTTCAGAATGATTTGGACCATGTCATGAGCAACCTGGTCTGGTGGGAGGTGTCCCTGCCTAGGGCAGGGTGTTGGAACTCGATGATCTTTAAGGTCCCTTCCAACCCAAACCATTCTATGATTCTATAACTCCACCTAAACATGAGGAGGAACTTCTTTCCTGTGAGGGTGGCAGAGCCCTGGAAGAGGCTGCCCAGGGAGGTGGTGGAGTCTCCTTCTCTGGAGACATTCAAAACCTGCCTGGACACGTTCCTGTGGGACGTGCTCTGGGTGCTTTGGCAGGGGGGTTGGAATAGATGATTTCTGGAGGTCCCTTCCCAAATCCATGTGATTCTGTGATTCTGTGTGTGTGATGGGCCATGTACTTGTAGAAAGAAATGCCAGACACTGTCCTGCCAGCCCTCTGTGTGCTGCAGCGTGGAGGCTGTACATACCAGGCAGCTTCCAGCGGTGGGGAGGGCACGCTCAGCAATTCCCCCACCTCCTCTCAAGGAAAGGCAGTGGTGGCCATGAGTTGTCGAAGGTTTTTATATATATTATTTGAATCATCATAACACTTAGACACCCGGGTCATAAATCAGGAGCACAGCAAAATGAAGATGACCCCTGTGTCCAAAGAGCAGGGTGGTGGGGCAGGATGAGGAATGCACCTGTGCTGCAGGAGAGGAAGAGCCCTCAACGTGGGTCAGTGGTGTCAGTCCTCTTCGTGCAAGGATCGTGAAGCAGGCTTGTAACAATTACAAGATTTAAAAAATAGTAAAGTTAATGATCTCTTTATTGTCTCCAGACTTTCTGGCTTCTCGAGTTGCCATTTGTTTCTCAGCAAATGGGAGCGTTATAAACTTTTTGTGCTGAAAGTTGATCATCTCCCTTAATAGCATGAATCTATAAGCTGCGACACGCAGAGAAATATTAGTTATTTGACCCTCACAGTAAATTTGCAAAGTTGACAATTCTGATGGATGTAATGGGAAGAGAAGATGATAACATGTTTTAATGTGGTGCATATGGCTGGTAATTTAGGGAGGATAGAGAACAGGAGCAAGAAGAGGTCAGGCAGTGTGGGTGTAAACGAAGGGAGAAAGCAATCAAGGCAAGCAGGAAGGCAAACAAAGTGAAGAAAATAGTGTTAATGTTTGACTGGCACTCAAGGCTCTACAAAATCAGTGGAGTCTCACTCTTTCCTTCTTTTCTTTTCTGTTCTCTTTTCTCTTTTTTTCTTTTTCTTTTATTATTTAACAAAGCTTTTGACAACAGCAGCAGCAAAAATAACAGCTCCCAGGACTAGTGTATTTACTCACAGCATGCAGTAACCCCTTTCTGTTGATTTTAAACTAAATTTAAAAGAGAAACTTTGTTAGCCCTTGTGAAAACATGAAGCACGTCAATTTGCTGAATGTACATTGTAGAATTTGGGTTATTTTTTTCTATTTTTTATAAAAACAAGCCCTTGTTTAGGTCTTCTTTATGTCTCCTAATGTATTTTATTAGCTTTTTCAAAGAGCTGATGATATGAAGCATTTCCCTTATGGTATTCAGTAATTGGTTTTATGATGAATAATTTTGGATATTTGTATTTTATGCTGGATCTGGTGCTTACTGTTTCAGGGATAAAATTTTTAGAGGTAGAATGTTTTTTAAAATTTACTTTCTCTGAGATTATCACTAACAACACAAAGAGCCTAGGATTTTCTCAGACTTTCTTTCCTTTAAACTCTGCTAGTGCTTTTAGCAACCAATATTTTAATTTAGCTCTTTGTTTATGTTCCATTTCCTTCAATATCTGTGTGCTCTGACAGGTTTTTCATTTTTTTAAATATGTTTTCATATGGTCATGAGGAAATGCTTTGGCTGCAAGTGTCTGCTTCATCCTGAGATCCCGGTGGTTGAATGATTCAATTTTTGTAGTTTCTTTGTAAATCTGAACAGTGGGTGATGTCATCCACTTCTGAAACTGAACACTCCCTGTGTGAACAGCTTTGAACTACGGATTTGATTTAGGAATGTTGCTGCAAAGCTTCAAAAGACACTGCTCTGTCCAGCTGCAATTCTGACTTTTATAGGTTTTGTGCAAGGCCAATGAGAAGTTTGTTTATCCTGGCCTTATTTAATTCCAGTTTGGTTTTTCAGGGACGTTGTTGTGTTAAAAGCCTGCAAAGTCTGCTTTTTCTTTAGCAACAATTAGAGAGCAGCCGACGTGCATTTCTTTTAAATTAACCCCCACTACATACCCTCTAAAAAAAATAAACAAAGTTAAGACTTTAATTAAGATGTTAAATAAGTAGCCATGGTTTTAAACCCTCATTAAAGTAAAGCTTTTGGTTAACGATGAAATTTGTAGATAAGCTTCCACTAACAAATGTCATTTCTACTCCCACTTTTTGTATGCTCCTCCACCACCTCTTAGCATTGATTGCTACGGCCTCCCCCCTTCAGATGTTTTAGAAAACACTGATGAAGTATTTTTCTTCCTTGTTTTTAATCAGAACCCTTTTCTCTCAGGCATATTTCCCCCCTTTAAACTGCATCCACAACTTTCTCCTGTTGAAAAGAAGGATAAATACCATGTGCGTTACTTCACAGTGACTCATCCATGGGCTTGCTTTTCTCTCCTCTCCCTCTCCCACCCCACGCTTGCTTTCAAAAGGGAGAAGGAAACAGGAAAATACCGATAGGAGAGAAAGTGAATACGTGTGTAGCTTTCAATGAGATGAATCCCCTATGACAAGTCGGAGTTAAATTACTGCTGGAAGTGCTCCTGAGATACCGCCTGGGTCATCTGATATTATTGTGCTGCTTCCATTTTGCCCCAGAGCGGCATGTGTGGAGGTTCTGAGAGATCCCTCGCTGTGGTGGGAATGTTCACAGTTGGATTGTTGGGTGGTCTCCTTAAATTTGGGACCCTTCTGCACTTTTGCATCCAGGCACACAGCCCTGAGAAGACTTGGGTTCCCTGTCTCCCCCGCTTTACCTTCAGTAGCCGGGATGTGATCTGAAGTGGCGCTAATGGGAATTTATCACTGGAATCTCGAGATTGAAATCTTATTACTAAAAAGAATCTTTTAAAAAATGGCATGAAATGGCGGCAGCTGGAAGATGGCAAGCCAGTTGTGAGGATGCCACTGATGTTTTCACACTTAACAAGGATATCAAGGACCATGTTGTGCGTTTGGTCTGCACAGTTTGAGGCCATTTGTTGGCTGGGCAGAAGACAGCCTGCAGGAGTTGGATATTTAAACTCTTGTGCATGATGTGAGGTGATGCCCAAGGAGTAAAAGACAATTTTGCTTACCATGCTGACTTGATTGCTGGTTTCAGAGGCTTTTTAAATCACATATTCCAGCACTGCCTGATTTTTATTAGAAGGCAAGTTTTGGATACATCCTTTAAAGAGAAAAGCCCTCTGATTTATTCCTTCACTGCTCATACAGAATGTGGATTTGCCTTTGACAAAGGCAGTGTCTTTGTATTCAGATATATGCTTTTGCACTTGATCCAAAGCCAAGGCAAATATCAAACAATATGAACCATATGAATCTACCAGAAGGCGACGGTTATTCTCTTCTAGAGTTAGTGTGAAAGATTATGAGGTTCAGATAAAGTTTCTCTTGAAAAGTGACAATGTTTTAGAATTTCCATCCTTTGGAAAATTAACGTAAGTGCTGGAATCCTAATGTAGTTCTTGAACATATATTGTTAGTTTCTGTTTGGCTTAGTTTTGGTTTCTTGTTATACTGATTAATGAAATATTGGGCATCGTGGCTAAACATAATGAGGTTGTGTAAGCTAAACCATGTTGAAAGCCTTCTGAGGCAAGGAAAAACTGAAGAGGAAAAACAAAATTCTTCCCACAACTAAAGCTGAGAAAAAAATAATTTTTGAAGGAGATTGTTTGAGGTGGTTTAAGCACTTTATCAGACATTCATGTGGGAATAGAGAAAAAAGGAGTAAGGAAAAAGCTGTGTATTTATTTAGTGCAGAGCGTGGTAAATTATAATGGATGCTGCATAGGCTCAGATATCAGGTGTCTGACTAACATTCATGAAAGCAGCATAATTCAGACTGAACTTTATTCTCCTCCATTATGCCCAGCTGCTGGGAAGAAGCAAGGCATGTGTGCAAAGCCTCCAGATGTTTGATGATCATGCACAACAAGGAGGGCAAAGGAGGGAGATTTACTATTTGCTCGATTTCATTTTTTCAGATTCTGAATTCAGTTCTTCAGCGTGTTTTATGGAATTTTTGTGATTTATTTACTTTTAATGCCATGGCCTCAACATTTATGTGTTGCTCATTTCCTCTTTTGAACATGAAGAAAAGAGAGTGAAAATGGTGGCAGGCAGTCTTTTAATTATGCTTTCTAACACTGTAATGAGATGGGCATTGTCCTCAAGAATGGACTGTGCTACAGAGAGATTCCTGGGGGTCTCTTGGGAAATTTCTGGCAGAATTAAAAATAGACCTGGGGGGCTCTGGTGACAGCCCAGCACAGCGCGAGTGACACATGGATCTGGAGGTGGGAAGACGGCTGAGTGGGAAGTTTGATTCTGTCTTCCCACTTTCAAGTGGCTGAAAAGTTTACAAGTGATTTATTTTACAAGTTTTACAGTATATTCATCTTATGCATTTGTTTTGTTAAAAACATTTTTGATGTTAATTATGAATTGAATGATTCTCAGTGAGTAGATTAGTACTGCTAGTCAAACAGTTCTGGTTTATTTGATTACTCAGGTGATTCATATGGTTTTGTTTCTGTTTGCTTTTTATAAATCCTTCAGCACCAGTAATCACATCTTAAAATTATTTTTTTTACTTTAGTAAAATTCAGATACGTAAAAATTACTTTGAAACCAGCACAAGACCATCACAGGTGTGGCTAAACTGAGCTTCTTTAAACATCTTCATTGTTTAAAGATTTATGGAGAAGGCAATTGCCTTTAATAAGCTCCTTTGTAGTCTGAATTCTCTATGCTTTCTTTAAGTGCTACATGTTAATATTAGATATGTTTGTTCTGGTGGAAGGTGAAATACAAAGAGCAGTTCAATAAGGAAATGAAGAGCCACCACTACAATCCTCTTGACAGTGCTTCCTTCAAGCAAGCACAGATTGCATCCACCTTGGCAAGTGATGTAAGTGAATTTGCTTTGTATTTTACATACATTTACATCCTCAAAACCCTAACATTTGTTCTGAAGCAGAATTCCTTTTTCCATCTTACAAATTCCTCTGAGCAGCAGTCTCTGCTACATGGTGTGTCTGTACAGCAGGTACTGCATGTTAGCCATTCCTTCCTCTGGTTCTGACAAAGCCCTTCTCCAAGGGCCTGCAGAGATTTTCAGAACCATTTTAGATGAGATTCATCTCGCTTAACTTTGTGTGTCAAAAGATTTGGCTGCTTACTCTGAGCTGGTTGCCTTGTACTTGGTCCCTTTGTATTTGGGAAAGGAGTAAGCAGGTATAGAGAGTAATTCCTCTGACCTGTTGTAGATGCCTGTCTTTGGAGTGGTGAAGTGCTGGCATCTCTTTAGAGGATGTAGAAAAGAGGTTGTTGGATGAGCAGATGAGATTTGGATGTCTGTATTTTATGGACTTCATTCTGCTGGTTGATCTTCTGAATGGTATTCCAAAGTACAGCAGTGACCAGATGCTGCAATGCTTGCCTGCTACTGGAGCCAGATTGGAGAAAACATCTATATCAAGTGATAATATTGTTGGGATGATATATTTAACAGTGTGTCTAATGCTAAAAACATGAGCTCTTTGAGGCTGTTACACAAGCCTTCATTCTGTAGTCTAAGTGTTTCCAAAGGGTGGAGCACCACCCAATGGGAACAAGAGGGTCAGTTCTGGGAAGGGTCCAAAAGAACATGTAATTGTTTCCAAAATCTAAATGTTTCCTAAAAATTTCCTTGAAGTAATTATTATTATAGGAGCTATGCAAATTGAATATTGTTGATTTGAAGTCTGCCTATATCAGTCAAGAACATGATACTTATGTGGAATTGACTGAAAGTATTGGTTTAAAAGATTTGTCATCCAAGATAGGCAAGGTAGCTGGTCTTCTTCCTTAAAGATGGGCGTGCAGCTGTCAGAAGTATGGAAAATCTTACTATAGACTGATAGGAAGCTATCTTCTGCCACTTCATGAAGTGATTATCTTTTGCCTTAGGTGATTATATTGCTTATCTTTGCTGAAAGCAATCTGCATTAAATCATAGAATTGTCTGGCAGCACTTCCCGTTAACTGTTGTATATACAACTTTTTTTATTTGGACAGTTAGTGTAATTCCTGAATGAAGAGAAAAAGAACAAGAATCAACAGTACTTAAAATGAGTAAGCTTGAGAAGATACTCTTGATTTACATTTTATGGTGGAAAAAAAAAAAAAAAATAAAAAAGAGGAACAATGGTGGTTCCTTTCTAGTCTGAAAGTGATACAAAGTGTGATTTTGTTGTAAGTGTCCTTTTTGAGCAAAAGTTTGAGTAGTCGCCAAATATTTGCTCAGTAGAATGAATCCTTTATTGATTTTTCATAAAAAAGAGGAACAATGGTGGTTCCTTTCTAGTCTGAAAGTGATACAAAGTGTGATTTTGTTGTAAGTGTCCTTTTTGAGCAAAAGTTTGAGTAGTCGCCAAATATTTGCTCAGTAGAATGAATCCTTTATTGATTTTTCCTTTTCCTCCAAATAATAGTGAATGACCACCATCTAGTGGCTGGTAGAGAATGTTCAGGCAAACACGTAATGCTTTCTCTTTCTGGATGGCTTCACTGTAATATGAAGCTGTTAATTTTTGTTAGTCTTTATTAATGTAACCTGAATTCTCTTTCCAGGTGAATTACAAGAAAGATTTGGAAAGCCTACATGATCCAGCCTCTGACCTACCAAACCTGCTATATTTAAACCATGCTTTAAATATCAGCAAAACGCATAGCGATGTAAGTTGCCTTTGTAAGCATTATCTGAAAAATACATGTAGTAAGGAAGGAAGTATGTATACACTGTGGAATACACACATTTTTGGTACTTGCTTCATTGTCTCAAGTAGTAGACTGTAGTGTTGTAACCATAGTGGTTGGGGGAGGTAGTGCTTTTAGGGAGAGATCTGAAAAATATATGTAGTAAGGAATGAAGTATGTATACACTGTGGAATACGCACATTTTTGGTACTTGCTTCATTTTCTCAAGTAGTAGACCACCGTGGTTGGGGGAGGTAGTGCTTTTAGGGAGAGATATTTCAGTTATTAGAACAACTAATATAGTGGGTAAGAATCACATGGACTTCTGGTACTTGAACGTTTATTCTTGTCTGTCTGAAACCTTGTATGTTTTTTCCTTTATTGAACTAAGATACTTTTTTCCTTGTGAATCTTGATTTGTCTAAGATGCTACTTTCCTCTGCAAGTCTCTGTACAAAAGTGACCATTATGCTAGTTTAATATTTGGACTTCTGCCATCAACAGCCACTCGAGTGCTAGCTTCATTAGAGTTTCTCTGCCTAAGCCTTTTTTTCCTCATAAATGTCTGAGACTTACTATGCTGGATCTGGTATTAGGCACATATTCCATTCTGCAACATAACAAGACATACCCCTTGATGGGGCTGGTGGTCTGACATAGGGTAGTGATGGGTGTTGAAATAGGGAGGAAGAGGTAGGAAACTCCTGTCTTCTGTGCAATGCTGAAGCTTCTCTCCCAGTCCAAGAGCACCTATGCTGTATGTGCAGTGCTTGGAGGCTGGTTAGCTGCATTTGTCATCTTTTCCCCAGAAACCCCAGAATGGCCACAGAACAGCTGTGGAAAGGTGTGAGTGGGTGGTTTTTTTGCATGCTCAGTAGGAGGCGAGCACTTCACACACAAAGGGTTAGCCCTAATGACCAGGAACATACTGGGTCATCTTCTGAGTCAAGCTATGGAGGCTTGTATCTAAAATAATCAAAATAATCCAGCCTTCCTGTCTGTACTTGATTTTTGTGTTGCTCTTTCATAGAATCATGGAATGGTTTGGGTTGGAAGGACCTTAAAGATAACCTAGTTCAACCCCCCTGCCATGGGCAGGGACACCTCCCACTAGAGCAGGTTACTCAAAGCCCATCCAACCTGGCCTTAGACACTTGCAGCCACAGCTTCTCTGGGCAACCTGTTGTTCCAGTGTCTCACCACCCTCAGAGTGAAAAATTTCTTCCTGATATCTAGTCTAAATCTCCCCTCTTTCAGTATAAAAACATTACCCCTTGTGCTATTGCAACAAGTCAGGCTAAAATGTTTGTCCCCATCATTCCTGTAGGCCCCCTTTAAGTACCGAAAGGCTGCTATAAGGTCTCCCCGGAGCCTTCTCTTCTCCAGGCTGAACAACCCCAACTCTCTCAGCATGTCTTCCTCGGTGAGGTGCTCCAGCCTCTGATCATCCTTCCATCCCTCCTCTGGTCCCATTCCAACAGGTCCATGTCCTTCATATGTTGGGGGCCTTAGACCTGGTTGCAGTCCTCCAGGTGGGGGTCTTATGAAAGCAGAGTAGAGGGAGTGAATTCTTTGGTGAATTGAAACTTGCTTTTTATCTGTCTCACTCTGGTATGTGAAGTTAACACTGGCTATCCCCTTTTCTATGGGTAATAAATGAGTCGATAGCTTTGAGTTCCTGCATTCTTTGTGTGCGTTTTGGCCTACCCAATTCTAGTTTCCTTCAGTGTAAGGTAAGATTGGCTTTTTTTTTTTTTGGCTGATTAAATGAACACCCTCAGAATGAACTCAATCAATTTGTCATCTGGTTCCTTTCTAGTCTGAAAGTGATACAAAGTGTGATTTTGTTGTAAGTGTCCTTTTTGAGCAAAAGTTTGAGTAGTCGCCAAATATTTGCTCAGTAGAATGAATCCTTTATTGATTTTTTTCCTTTTCCTCCAAATAATAGTGAATGACCACCATCTAGTGGCTGGTAGAGAATGTTCAGGCAAACACGTAATGCTTTCTCTTTCTGGATGGCTTCACTGTAATATGAAGCTGTTAATTTTTGTTAGTCTTTATTAACGTAACCTGAATTCTCTTTCCAGGTGAATTACAAGAAAGATTTGGAAAGCCTACATGATCCAGCCTCTGACCTACCAAACCTGCTATATTTAAACCATGCTTTAAATATCAGCAAAACGCATAGCGATGTAAGTTGCCTTTGTAAGCATGATCTGAAAAATATATGTAGTAAGGAATGAAGTATGTATACACTGTGGAATACGCACATTTTTGGTACTTGCTTCATTTTCTCAAGTAGTAGACCACCGTGGTTGGGGGAGGTAGTGCTTTTAGGGAGAGATATTTCAGTTATTAGAACAACTAATATACTGGGTAAGAATCACATGGGCTTCTGGTACTTGAGCATTTCTTCTTGTCTGTCTGAAACCTTGTATGTTTTTTCCTTTATTGAACTAAGATACTTTTTTCCTTGTGAATCTTGATTTGTCTAAGATGCTACTTTCCTCTGCAAGTCTCTGTACAAAAGTGACCATTATGCTAGTTTAATATTTGGACTTCTGCCATCAACAGCCACTCGAGTGCTAGCTTCATTAGAGTTTCTCTGCCTAAGCCTTTTTTTCCTCATAAATGTCTGAGACTTACTATGCTGGATCTGGTATTAGGCACATATTCCATTCTGCAACATAACAAGACATACCCCTCGATGGGGCTGGTGGTCTGACATAGGGTAGTGATGGGTGTTGAAATAGGGAGGAAGAGGTAGGAAACTCCTGTCTTCTGTGCAATGCTGAAGCTTCTCTCCCAGTCCAAGAGCACCTATGCTGTATGTGCAGTGCTTGGAGGCTGGTTAGCTGCATTTGTCATCTTTTCCCCAGAAACCCCAGAATGGCCACAGAACAGCTGTGGAAAGGTGTGAGTGGGTGGTTTTTTTGCATGCTCAGTAGGAGGCGAGCACTTCACACACAAAGGGTTAGCCCTAATGACCAGGAACATACTGGGTCATCTTCTGAGTCAAGCTATGGAGGCTTGTATCTAAAATAATCAAAATAATCCAGCCTTCCTGTCTGTACTTGATTTTTGTGTTGCTCTTTCATAGAATCATGGAATGGTTTGGGTTGGAAGGACCTTAAAGATAACCTAGTTCAACCCCCCTGCCATGGGCAGGGACACCTCCCACTAGAGCAGGTTACTCAAAGCCCATCCAACCTGGCCTTAGACACTTGCAGCCACAGCTTCTCTGGGCAACCTGTTGTTCCAGTGTCTCACCACCCTCAGAGTGAAAAATTTCTTCCTGATATCTAGTCTAAATCTCCCCTCTTTCAGTATAAAAACATTACCCCTTGTCCTATTGCAACAAGTCAGGCTAAAATGTTTGTCCCCATCATTCCTGTAGGCCCCCTTTAAGTACCGAAAGGCTGCTATAAGGTCTCCCCGGAGCCTTCTCTTCTCCAGGCTGAACAACCCCAACTCTCTCAGCATGATAGGCTGGTCGACCTATAATGTGTTTGTCTATCTTAATCCAAAAAAGTGGGAATGAATGAGTTCAGAAGGCTTCTCCAGGTTTCCAAACAGGGTGTATTTGCTTTGCAAGTTAGTGAAAAGTTGTATATTGGTATCTAAACCCTGTGCCCTTCAATGTGACTTTGCTGCGAGCTTTAAGGTCATGCTCGGTGAGGTGCTCCAGCCTCTGATCATCCTTCCATCCCTCCTCTGGTCCCATTCCAACAGGTCCATGTCCTTCATATGTTGGGGGCCTTAGACCTGGTTGCAGTCCTCCAGGTGGGGGTCTTATGAAAGCAGAGTAGAGGGAGTGAATTCTTTGGTGAATTGAAACTTGCTTTTTATCTGTCTCACTCTGGTATGTGAAGTTAACACTGGCTATCCCCTTTTCTATGGGTAATAAATGAGTCGATAGCTTTGAGTTCCTGCATTCTTTGTGTGCGTTTTGGCCTACCCAATTCTAGTTTCCTTCAGTGTAAGGTAAGATTGGCTTTTTTTTTTTTTGGCTGATTAAATGAACACCCTCAGAATGAACTCAATCAATTTGTCATCTTAGATCTAATAAGATAGAAACCTGGATTTTTCCTTAGGACAGCTCCCTTCTTGCAAAATTTATTTCTTTCTATTGCCCAGGAAGGGTTGATTCATATTGTCTGTGCCCTTTTCTGAGGACATAGACCATAAATACTAAGTCTCTGATTTTTTTGTATTGTCCAGATGCTGGTGGATATTTTTTCTTGCTGTGAGCAGGAAGAAAAATGCTTTGTCAATCCCTAAGGTCTCCACTAGCTATTTGTCTTCAACAGAAATCCTGTTTTGAAAATCCTTCTCAGCTTGGACCTTCCCATGTCATCTCTTTGATTTTAACCTGGCTCACTGTCCTGCCTTTCTCCATGCTTTTCCAATACCTTCTTTGTGTTCCCCTCCTTGTCTTTCCACAACTTGTCCCAAATCTTTCTTGAAGTCTGCTTCCACTCTATGAACCAGTCTTCCTGACTTTACCTTTAACTGGTTTCCAAAAACTGATTGCATGGTCGGTTTTTGGTTCTTTTTCCCCTCTGAAACGTTGAACTTGCTAATTTCCCAGTTTTGCTCTTTAACTGTAATATACCGTTCTCCCTTGAACTTTATGCTTCTCTTCATCTTTTGCATAACATAGCTACACCTGCCCCAGTGTGATACATTCTAACCTTGTATGATTAATTAAACTCATAAACTGATAGGGTTGATTGAGCTGGTTTGCTGGTTGACCTGGAGTGCAGAAGTGTGCACAACATTATGAAACACATACACTGTAATACCAATGCAAAGCTGTCACACAAATCAGCTTCCATGGGAATAAATTCCAGCAGTGAAGAGGAAAGCTTGATGGGCCTGTTTGGACACAAATAGACAGATTCTGACAGGTTGAACTCATCCTGTTTTCTTTATTTTGACGAGGAAGAATGCTCACAAGGTGGAACTTACCCCTCGTATGGTATACATATAATTCTTTTTGGCATGAACTACATAATTTAAAAATTTGATATATGTACAGCAGCTAGTTTATACTTTTGCGCATTTTAAGTCTGTTTCTAATGTAGAGACTTAGAGACACTAATGAACGACTGGCTAATAAAAACAAAGGAACTTAGATGTGTTTCATTTTATGAAACAGGGTGAATAAATAGGATTTACGAGACTGATTCTGGTGTCTGTAGTTTAGTGTAGCAAAAGGTTGTGTGATTTACCTCATTTAATTTTATAGAATTTTTTTTTAAAATTTTGTTCCCTTAGTTGAGGAGTGGAGTAAAAGTATGAAGTCTGTATCTGTAGATGGAGATAATTTTCGTTTCAACTACAGAAGTGATTTTGTTGTATGACATTTATAATTATTTCCACTAGGAGGCAAACCCAGACCATCATATGTGTTCCTTTGCACTTCAAATGCAAATAGTAATGGTTATTTTGTAGCAAACGTAAACATTTGATGTTTGGATGAGCAAGAGAAACATTTTCTCTAAGAACATACAAAAGTTATTTTTGCATGATAACCTTTTTTAATTTCATCACAGGTTGTAAACTCAAATTTAGCAGTAGAACTTCTGAGCTGAGGGGCCTAAAATACAGTTTCTTTTATGTTGTTTCTCCCATAGTTATTTTAAATGGTATTTAAATTGCAAAACCTTCTAGATATTGTTTGTGAAAACATTCTTGGATTTTTTTTTTTTTGTTTCTGTATGAATATAAGAAATCATTTAAGCAAAGCGAGGGCTTCTGTTATTTCACCCCAGTACAGCTGAACAAATTCATCGCAAAGGAAATGCAGTGCTTCAAAGTCAAGTACACACAAGCAAAAATATATCTTGCAAAGAGAAAAACGCAGAATTCTAAGAGTGATTAAATCAGGTACAAAAGTGCACGACAAATTATATTGATAGAGAACTCATTTTTGCTCAGAAGCACCCCATGAGGAGGGAGGAGAGTGTTTTTGCGGACCTGAACCTAGTGCAGAGGCCTGTCAGGGAAAGATATTAACATTTTCCTCAAATTCAGACGTTACTAGTTTTGAAGAGACAAATATATTAAAATATTACTCATTCTGAGGATCATACCTTGATATGTATCTGTTTACTTTCCTCAATGACGTATTCCTAAAGGAACAAATGACTCCTGAATATTCCACCATATCACAGGCTGGTTGACTGACCTAAATAATGTGTTTGTCTATCTTAATCCATAGAGTGGGAATGAATGAGTTAGAAGGCTTCTCCAGGTTTCCAAACAGGGTGTATTTGCTTTGCAAGTTAGTAAAAAGTTGTATATTGGTATCTTAACCCTGTGCCCTTCAGTGTGACTTTGCTGTGAGCTTTAAGGTCATGGTCATTGGTCGCTGGGAGGGGAATGTTGGTGCAAGACCAGACTCTACTGAGGCAGTAGATTTCCTTCCCACAGGTACAAACAAAAGTGTGTTTTAGAATGGTGCTCCTGAGCCTGGAAGAGAGACCTGTGGGACCTGGGTGTGAAACAGATTTTATTGTTGTTACAGCAAATGTCTTGTTTAATGGTAACATGACAGGGGATCTTATTTAAAAGCTGCCAACATGGGTCATTCAGCCCAAATCATACAATTAGTTTAAGGATTGTGATTGATGCTCCTCACTCCTGCTGTCTTCAAAGTTCACCATTTTAAAGTCTGACATTTTGAAGCAAAGGAATAAATGACTCCAGAAGAAAATTCCTTGTCTAGCTGCCCTATGTCTCCAACAGGTTATATTTGGAGGAGTCTTCAAAGTCAAAACCTTTTAAGAAGTATGGCTAAAACAGGATTTGTCTGTCACCATAGGAAGCAATCAGATCTCACATCCTCTCAGCTGTTAACAGCATTTATTTTCATTTTCCTAGGTTAAGTACAAAGAGAATTATGAAAAATCTAAAGGCAGATCAATGCTGGAGTTTGTGGATACACCGATGTATCAGGTTTCAAAGGAGGCTCAGAAGATGCAAAGTGAGGTTAGTAAAACTTTGTGCTTGAACTAGCAAAGTTTAGATCAACAGAGAAGCTAACAGACATCTTGTACTCAGGTTAAGAAAACGGATGAAGCAGATTATAAAAGTTTTATAAATTGAGGATATGGTAGAATTTGTACTGAGTAGTTCTTTTTGCTATTCTCCATTCTTCCTTCATTTTTTTTTCTCAAAAGGCCATTGGTGCTAACACTAGACAGTGATTGTATGTAGCATCATTTGATTGAGAAGGAGCTTGAGAAGGAGCTCAAGGGGCCATTTAGATCAGAGATTACTAACTTTTTAACATTTTGCCTATAATTTCATCTTTAATGATGGAGATTTCTCCAGTGGGAGTGAGTGAAGCTGCAAAGCCCAGTCCAACCCCATGCCTGTTCAGTCTGGGGAGCTCAGCAAGGGGGAAGGACTGTTCCTGGGCTCCAGAACATCACTGGCTATCCTAAGCCAGGCCATATTTTTCTGACTTTTTTATTAAAAACTTCCAGTGGTGGAGGTTTCAAGACCTCCCAGACAACCTAGCCCAGTGCTTCACCATCCATCCTGAGAGCAAGCGTTTCCCTGTGTCTCCCTTGCTGCAGTTTGATCCCATTATATTTCCAATGTGTCATGAAAACAGATTATTTCATCTTTTTGGTAGAAACTTTTATGTGTTTAAGCCATTACCTCGTGTGCCATTTGTCCTCTCTTTTCTCTACTAAGCAAATAATTTCTTTCATAGATCAGGTTAAACAATCTCTTTGGAGGTATCATACGTATGTAGTTTTGTCTAAATTGTGTATGTGTCTTGTGTAGATAATTTAGGTAATGAAGTTGCTTATTAATATGATAATTAATTTACAGCACAGCTCATTTCTGGGTCTATTTGCAGTGTTATTTCTGAAATATGCTTGGAAATGCACATGTACATACCACTAATTGTTGGGTTTGCTTCAATAGAAAATGTATCGCAAAGATTTTGAAGAAGAGATCAAGGGAAGAGCCTCAATGGATTTAGACAAGACCCCAGAGTTCTTGCATATAAAAGAAGTCACTAACCTTCTGAAAGAGGTAGAGGATTTTTGTTTGGGTTTTTTTTGTTTTGGTTTGGTTTTTTTTTGTTTGTTTGTTTTTAAGTTGTAGCTGAGCAATAAGCAGCATCACCACAAAGTAGTGAGTGCTGAACAACTCTCAACTTGGTAGCTAAATGCAAAAGTGACTTCATGAGAACAAAATTGCAGCATGTCATCTTATATTCTGAATAGTTCTGTCGTAAAAATCAATAAGTTTTGAAGTTTCCATATGAACATAAGGAAACAATAAAGCTCAGCCCACCTGAACCAGAAAAACAGAGTTAAATGAACAAATCACGTGACTCCATAAAAAATGGATCGTTGCTAGGACTTCCCTCTGAGGGCTTCAGTTTTGGAATTTGTTCACCCGCTGGACTCAAATAGCCCAAATTTGATGACCTTCCAGGCATGCTGCAAAAGAAATCTGTTTGCTAGGGTTTTAGAGAGGGCCTGGAGTTTTCTTTCCTGATAGATGAAGGGGTGGAAAGGAGGATTTCTGTTGGTGTCCAGATGGCAGTTTTTCCTTTTGAGTAATTATTTCAGGTTTATGATAGTCTGTTGTGGTTGTATGGATGCTTTGAGCTGTGTGTGGTCACTTTAAACTAATTTATTTGAAATAATTATCTATCATACATGTTATGGATGAAAATAAGGAATAACAAACTTCTGTAATATAGCTGTGATATTATATGATCTGCTACAAGCGTATTTTGTTAGAAGGTGCAGATTTTTGTATGTCCACTGTTTCGTTAAGATTTGTCCAATGTTCTTCACTTGTATGTGGCATTATAAATTAAATCATTTTTTTTCCATAACTGAGAATCCTTCTATCTTTAGTGTTTTCATATTGTTATTCAAAACTGCTTTCATGTTAGGTTTTGAGTATTGTTTGTTTCTACAGATTAGGCTTACTATTTGATCAAATTTAGAAGTAAATGTTTCAAAAAAATTAATAGTTTGAAATATCAGAGCTGCTAGATATTCTCTATTTGAATTGGGGAGCCAAACAGCACATTATTTATTGTATTAAGAATTCACATTTTTGTTGCGGCGCAGGTGAACAAATTGAGGGTACTAGAATGAAAAAGCTTTGAACTGTGTTCCTTTCCTTGTTCTTGAAACAGCTTATTCCAGTCTATGCTAGATTTCATATGGGTAAAGAAAATGTTTTCAGATATTTTTTTATTATTCATCCTCTAATAAATAATTTATTCTGATAAGCTTGGTTGTCAGGTAGGCAAGTCTCAAGCTGGATCTAGTTTGCGCAGTGCCGTTCTGTGCATACATGTCTCGTGTGTGCCTACTGACTGGGGGGAAATGCAAATGCTTGTATTCCATTGAATTAATCTGGCTGAATGTCTGCAGATCTGCTGCAGATGTGCTGTAAATGTTCATCTTTGAAAATTTTTAGGTAACTTCCCTCCATAGTCCTACCCGCATTAAGATCTTCCCTAATTCTTACCTCCACAAGTTTTATGACTTGTTACTTTGGGAGTAGACCATGGTTATAAGCCAGAGAGGGAGAATATGAGAAAATGGAAATGGTATTTTAATGCATAACAGCATGAATTTCAGATTATTTATATCCATGTTCACCTGAAGAATTAGATAGCTCAAATTGATTATCTTTCAAGGTACAGCAGAATTTCTTAATATTCAAGGAAGTAGCTCAGTGTTTTTGTGGGAAGGTTCATAATAAACTTTAGATAGATACTGGATGAAAAAAGAAGGAGAACCTGGAGTTATTAAAAAATGAATTATTTGTTCAATTACTTTTTTTTTTTAAAGTGTCAGCTGTGTTCCAGCTTATTCTGTTGCTTTCCTACTGTAGAAAATTCTGCAAATATTTTGCATTTTGCGACAATAAGAACGTTCTTCTTGGGATCCACATTCGCAGCTTCTTCAGAAAAGATAGATGAATTTAATAATTCTAAATTAATGGAAGTTGTTTCCTGCTTGTTGTAGGACATGCTTCAGATGATAAAGAGAAGCTTTTTTAAAATAACTGGTTTCCTTTTGTTTAAGTGAAGAGCTTATGCAGAGACAAAGGTGCTCACTACTGCTTATGAAATATAATATGTGATTAGAAGTGTTAATTCATGTCTACGTAAATCTTTCAAAAAATACTTTTTTGAATTTTTTTCTAGTTTCCTTGCTTAAAAAAAGCTAACCCAAACCTGGAGATGGGAAAAGTAATTAAATATCTTTACAAAACTTTAACTTCAGTGGGCTTACGTCAGCTTTCTAGGAATTGAGAAGAAAAAGAACTAAATGTCCATGGGCAGGTTCTGGTGTGTTTTTAATTTTATACTGGAGATTTGAGCACTCTGCAGTTGCTAAATGTTGATAGATCATATCAGTGCAGTGTCTGAGGGGCACAGAAGAGATATTGCTTCTACATTATAATTTATCACGCAGTCATTTTAACAGGTCCTAGTATAGTGTCCAGGGCATCCATCCTGATTGTGAAGCCATTAGTGGAACAGAGGTAAAAACTGCGGCACAGCAAATATTGGTCTGTAAAAGCAAATGCTACTGCAGTTACAGTGTCTGTAGAGAGGCAGCTGAGACCCCTAAACAATGTATGGTACAGGAGAGGACTATTTTTCAAGAGCACAACAGGAAAATACATGACTACATTAAAACCTTTTCACTTTTTCAACATTGTACCTTTTGATTTCATAATTTCTCATTCTATTTTAACTCTGAAACCTGTACTTCAGCTAATTCATATTTCATAGACATTTCAAAGAGACCCTTCAGACATTTAATAACTGGCATTTCTTTTCAAGATCTTGCACACAATATTAAGTGGAGAAATCTCTCTCTTTTTTTTTTTTTTTAAATCCTTAGAAAGAGTATAGAAAAGATTTGGAAGAATGGATGAAAGGAAAAGGAATGACAGTGTTTGAAGATACACCAGATTTGATAAGAGTGAAGAACGCAGCTCAGATACTAAATGAGGTATGTTATGCTAGTCAAGGTTATTGATGTCACAGAAAGTTCACTCTTTATGTTCTACTCAACTGAAAATATTCCAATTTTTTTTAAATATAATTGACAATGAAATGTGTATCAAAACTAAAGCTATTTCTGTTTTGCTTTAAGAATATAGAAAAGCTCTGAGAAAAACCCAATTTATGACAAATATTTCAGATTTTCAAACAATAGAAATTGTTAGTGGGGTCAGTAAATATAACATTTAAAACTGGGTTCGTTTTTCCATCTATTGATTTGTTCAGCTAGTATAATTAATACTGTAATGGAAAAAGAGTTGACTGTTAATGGACTTGTAAGGAAAAGTCAATGCAATAGTTTTGAGGTTTTGGAATCACATACCTGCTATCTGAAAATAAATGTTGGTAATGACTGCCAGGCATCTCGGGAAGATCTTTTATCCAAACAAACTGTTCTACTTGTGAAAACCTTTTTCCAAAAGTAGAGTTGCTCCTGAAGAAATGGATTTTCTTGAACTTGGGGTTCATCCCATGCAAACAGACAGGTGGAGGCTCCTTCCAGAGTGTATTTTCGGAACTGAACTTTGGTCTTAACTGTGCTGGTCTAAGTTGCTCTGGAGGTGACATGGAAGCATGGAAGTGTGTGATCTATCCATTGGGAAGATTTGGGAGTGGAAGTGGAAGACTCCCTCATCTGTTACTGTTTCCTGAAGACCATCCTGAGGAACTCATGTGCTTGGCAACCCTGTGTGCTCAGCAGAGCAGCAGGTTTCAAAGCTGGCAGGGCAGCAGGTCCTGCAGAGGAGCTTGCACAGGCTGCCTGGGAAGCAGCAGTGGGGAGGAAAGAGGGAAGGCAAAGCTCATGCTGCACTTCACACCTTTGGGGAGTCATTCTTCCAGAGCAATATATGCATTTATTTTATATATGTGTATATATATGTGAAAAGGTACCAGTACAGGTTAGGGGTGGACCTGCTAGAGGCAACTACTGAAGAAAAAGATCTAGGGGTCCTGGTGGACAGTAAAATGACAATGAGCAAGCAGTGTGCTCTTGCGGCCAGGAAGGCCAATGGTATCTTGGGTTGTATAGGGAAGAGTGTAGCCAGCAGGTCAAGGGAAGTCATCCTCACCCTCTGCTCTGCACTGGTGAGGCCACAACTAGAGTACTGCGTCCAGTTCTGGGCTCCCCAGTTCAAGAGGGACAGGGAACTACTAGAAAGAGTCCAGCAAAGGGCAACAAAGATGATTCAAGGATTGGAGCCTCTCCCTAACGAGGAGAGGCTGAGAGAGCTGGGACTCTTTAGTCTGGAGAAGAGAAGGCTGAGGGGAGACCTTATCAATGCCTACAAGTATCTCAAGGGAGGGCTGAAGGAGGAGGGAGCCAGACTCTTTTCAGTATTTGCCCATGAGAGGACGAGGGGCAACGGGCACAAGTTGGAACATAAGAGGTTCCACTCAAATATGAGGAGAAACTTCTTCACGGTGAGGGTGGCAGAGCCCTGGAACAGGCTGCCCAGGGAGGGTGTGGAGTCCCCTTCCTTGGAGATTTTCAAGACCCGCCTGGATGCTCCTGAGTAACATGCTCTGACAAGCTCTAGGCAATCCTGCTTCAGCAGAGGAGTTGGACTAGATGATCTCTATGGTCCCTTCCAACTCTAAAATTCAGTGAAATTCAGTGAAATACTTTATATTCATTTAATATATAGATATATGTTTATTGGCACACATACACACATAGCTATAAGCAGAGGGAATGCCATGCATAGGGCCAACCTTACCACTGCGTACAAGTAACTCCCAGGATTGTCTTTTCCTTGGTGTTTTACAAAGTAGGAAGCTAGGAGGAAACATCTGCCATTCCACCTTTAGCAGAGAGGAAGAGAGAGATGATGTCTTCTCACAGATTAACACATACTTTTTGCAAAAAAAAACATGATTTGGGAAGCAAAGGGTTGCTTTATCACGTTTATTTCCATGTCAGAGTGAGACAGAGATGAAAGATGAAAGTCTTTTTGCTCTTGTTCTCATAACTTTATGCTATAAGTGATCAGACCATTGCATTGAATAGAAAGATATTTTCCTTCTTCTAACTAAAGTACAACCTGAAAAATAGTTAACAATCAGAGAAAGTAATAAGAAAATATTCTAATTTTATATATTTATTTTGAAAAACCTCCAAACCTGTTTTCCACAGTTGGAAACTATAATAGAAAAGAATGATTCCTACTAGAAATAGCACTGCCTAAGAATATTTTAATTTTTTGTTAAAAAAAAAAAAGTACAAGTATTATATACAATATTTCAGTATTACATTCTAATATCATGTGCTGATGAACAAGAATTTTATCCTTGCTTGGATAAGATGAAATATTTATTTTGTTTCCTAGTTATTGGTTATTTATAATTTATGTTGTGGGGGAAAAGCAGCAATCGTGGATGAGTACTGCCACTTGCCTAATGGCTGTGGTTCAGGAAAGACCTATTAAATGAATAAATTACAACTTCCTGCTCTGAAGGTTCACTGGAAACAATGCTGTATGGTATCAAATTTCTAACATGTAGTCTTTTCATAAATAAAATATTTTCTTAAATGTAAAATGTGTTTCACTTAGGCTGGCCTCAAGTACCAGCTTATTACACTATGTTCTGCAGAGCTAAACTTCCCCTTTACTTTAGAGGATAATTGTAACAGGCTGTATGGACTGATTTCCCCCATCCTCTGCCAAATTAAAAATTCACTGGTAGAGAGTTTTGTACATTCAGTGAATATATCCTCAAGTTTTCCTTCTGTAGTTTATGCGTTTTCCTGACAAAAGCTTGCCAATGCTCTTGAGAGCTGTGACTCTTAACTTGAGATTTTTTGATTGACTCTAAATCTTAAATTGGATCTCTTGTGCAAAAATCTATCTGTAACTCTCTGGCTATTGTGAATATAATCTATGAAGTTTTATCTTCACAGAAGCAATACAAGAAAGACTTGGAAACTGAAATTAAAGGAAAAGGTATGCAAGTTGGTCCAGATACTCCTGAGATAAGACGAGCCAAGAGAGCTTCTGAAATTGCAAGCACGGTCAGTACTGTACCTGGTGGAAGCTTTCAATTTGACAGGATGCAGCAGATTATTGTCATTGAGAATTCCAGGTGGTGACCAGTCTAGGCTACCACAAATTTCACCAAATACCTAATCCATTGAGCTTTTTAGAGTCTAAAAGTTGCATAATCAGTATACGGGGGAAGGTTAAGGCTTCCCAGAACTTTGACATTTCTCTCATCTTTCGCAGGTGGCTCTTGTTCCTCATGAGCCACACCTGGCCTGGGCTGTGGTCGGCAGCTGCAAGCCCTGCTGCTTTTAGGTCTAAAAAGCTGCTTGTTAGGGCCAAATAATAAACAGAGTTAGAGAGATGCTGAAGCCTTATGACCCCAGTCTTGTGAAGCACTGCTGAGGGAGAAAGTCTGGTTTACGCGTCTGTAATTGTGGCTGCTGAAGCTCAAAGACAGTAGATGTGAGAAGCTATGTGAGATTTGAAGTAAGCAGTTTGTTACCAGAACTTTTTAACTGGTCGGCAGCTACTGCATAGGTGTCTCATAGATAGATTCTACAAATGCTGTTGAATCAGAGGTTATTTGGTATTTTAAGACTGCTGTTCAGTGGAATCACATATATAAAATAGGAAGAATTTAAGAATTTGGCTGTGAGATGCGAGTATTTCAAATGCTATACTTTTCAGAAAGAATACAAGAAAGACTTGGAGAACGAAATTAAAGGAAGGGGAATGGAAGTGGGCATGGATACCCCTGATATACAACGAGCCAAAAAAGCTTCTGAAATTGTAAGCCAGGTGAGTACAGAATGGATCTCATAAGATTATTTTGGAAGTAAAACACAGTGAGATGTTAAAAACATACAGTCTTCTTGGACAGACTAGGGCTAAAAGGAATAAGCAGTGCACAATAAACAAAAATTAAATTCAAGAAGCTGAAGAATTTAGTTTTAAAGTCTGACCCGTGTTATCAGAATAGCTTTGAAGATACCATGTGCAAATAACTGTAGAATTAGCTATGGGTTTTATCCTTCTTTTTTTCTTCAGAAAGAATATAAAAAGGATCTGGAGACTGAAATTATAGGAAAAGGGATGCAAGTTGGCCCATATACTCCTGAAATACAGCGAGTCAAAAGGGCTTCAGAAATAGCAAGCCAGGTAGGCATAGTTCAAAGGCTGAATGTTTTAGTTCTGTGTAACAATGAGTGCTTGACATACATTGCTCCAAATACCTCTTCTCTAGCTCTGTAGAGGCTTTCATACCCATATTAAATTAATTTATATGTGGTAAAAAATCTTACTGCCTGATTCTTAATTGTATTTAGGCCTATCATGCCATGTAAATTGAATTTAATTGTTTAGATCTACTTGCAGGTCTTGATATATTACCTAATGAGAAGAGTATATATGTCCTGAGAGTGAAGGCAATATATATATATATTAGAGTATATATTTATAAATATATATATATGTAATATATTTTCAGTAGGGGACACAGTGTCAGGTGTCCCACACAGACAATGATAACAATATTACAGAGGATAGAGGTTGAAATAAATACTGTACAAGGATGTTGAGGTTCCTCAGCAGTAAGCATCTTTTGCTGCAGTTTGGATATTCTGAGCCCAGGAAATAGGCATTTTAAAATTATTTTTCAGAAAATGTACAAAGATGAAGCAGAGAAGATGCTCTGTAACTATTCTGCTGTCCCAGACACTCCAGAGATGCAGAGGATAAAAAGTACTCAGAAAAACATCAGTTCAGTGAGTAATAGTGCTTCTCTCTTTGCTTGCAACTGTTCAGATGTTTCTCAGTTTAAATGGGTTCTCTTGTGCTGCAGCGTGAAAAAGGGAACTTATGAGTAAATGTCCTTTGAACCATTTGCATAATTTTCCTGGCAAAATCTGTATCACTCTTTGCTTTCAGTAAAAAAATTACCCAGCTTTTCTAGGTGTGACACTGGTATTTTGAATTGCTAAACCACTTATACCACCTTGCCAAGCCACAGTTATTTTTAAATGAAGATTTCTTTTTTCTTTTTTTCCATCAAGCCCCAGGAAGTACTTTATTCAAAAGGACAAAAAAATCTAAGGCTTGTTATTATGCATGTAAGATTTTTCATCTGTTTCCTATCATATGTGCAGAACATCAAGATTTGGGCATAAAATGTAAGAGATCGGGTTTCATAAATATAGATGTCTAATGATTTTATATTATAGTGGATATTTTTTTAATTTTATGCTAGATTTAAATTTCAGTTTATCCCTAAATATGAGTTATGAACTTAGATTTCTAAAATTGCCCTTTGTGAGGCACTCAGTTCCATTTCCTTTTTGGGCCCGTTAATTCTGCTGTTTGTAATTCTAGCTTTGCTTGTAATATAACAGAGGAGAGGAGTAAATATAGCCTCGGGAACCAAAGGCTGTTCAGTGAGTGTCTGTTTTTTATGGCAGGCTAAGTAATACTAATAAAGCCAATGATTTGAGAGGAAGGAATATAAGTTAATTAAATTCCTTAGTACTATCTGACACAGATGAGGTTCTTTTGCTTAGAGATATTCTCAGCTTCTCCAGCTCCACAGGAGTACAAGGTCAATTAGTTTCTATCAGAGGTGTTTGCCTGCAGCTCTCCCATATCACCGTAGCTTCACTGAGGGAGTATGAGCCTGTGGGGAGAGGAGAGAAGAAAAGTCTCTCAGACTGCTCCAGGCAGTGCTCTCTCCTGTGATGTCTTCCAGCCATTACCTGCTCCTTTTCTTCCTTCAGAGGGGAGCAGCTGAAACCTACATCGTTTAGGAACTGTCGGCAGGCCCACTGGCCCCAATTTTGGTTTTTTGTGGTCTGTCACCTCTTGGTTTTGAATGGGGCTCTACTGCCTGGTGTGGCGGTGGTTAGCACCGTATCTCATGTTGCTGGCCAGGCAGGCATCTACTGATCTGCTTTCCTTCCTGCTCCTGTCTTTGATAGCTTTTGATTGAGTCCTCAAAGAGGTCAACGGGTCTGGCAGTATGGACTCACTAGCAGTTAGATACCAGGCACGTAATAACCTTCCACTACTTAATTAAGCCTTGACAAGCCTCTGATGCATCTGAACCCCTTGCAGACCTGTAGGCCGGCCTGAGCTTTCAGTGCCAAGGCTGAAATTATCCTCTTTGTTAGTGTACTAGATAATATGAAATAAAAATATTTTGTCTTTGAGGTGATTTGTATTTGCTTTATTTTGTGATCATTGTTTTTCTGTTTCTGAACTGGATCCCCCAAATGTAGGAAATTAGTCTGGAGAAGAGAAGGCTGAGGGGGTCCTCAAAGAGGTCAACGGGTCTGGCAGTATGGACTCACTAGCAGTTAGATACCAGGCACGTAATAACCTTCCACTACTTAATTAAGCCTTGTACCAGGCACATAATAACCTTCCACTACTTAATTAAGCCTTGACAAGCCTCTGATGCATCTGAACCCCTTGCAGACCTGTAGGCCGGCCTGAGCTTTCAGTGCCAAGGCTGAAATTATCCTCTTTGTTAGTGTACTAGATAATAGGAAATAAAAATATTTTGTCTTTGAGGTGATTTGTATTTGCTTTATTTTGTGATCATTGTTTTTCTGTTTCTGAACTGGATCCTCCAAATGTAGGAAATTAGTCTGGAGAAGAGAAGGCTGAGGGGGGATCTGATCAATGTTTATAAATACTTAAAGGGAGGATGTCAAGAGGATGGGGCCAGTCTTTTTTCAGTGGTGCCCAGGGACAGGACAAGAGGAAATGGGCACAAACTTGAACATAAGAAGTTCCACCTAAACATGAGGAGGAACTTCTTTCCTGTGAGAGTGGTAGAGCACTGGAAGAGGCTGCCCAGGGAGGTGGTGGAGTCTCCTTCTCTGGAGACATTCAAAACCCTCCTGGACAAGATCCTGTGTAACCTGCTCTAGATAGACCCAGTCCGGTGGGGGGGTTGGACTAGATGATCTCCAGAGGTCCCTTCCAACCCCATATGATTCTATGATTCTATGAAACCAGTTTATAGCTGTGATTGAATTATAATTTTTTTTCTTTCTCTAAGTATTAATCTTTCTGTATTCTGGGCAATGTAGATTAGAAAGGTAAGTTACTTTTTACTAAGTTAAGATATAGCTGGGAGCAGCCCTAATAGAAAAAATTTAGTGACCCCTAATAGGCTTCTGATTTTTGGATTTCGTCTCAAGTATTTTCATGCCTAAAGGGACAAAAAGTGGCTGGCTTTACAGATAAGATCAGTGCTGCTTTTGGCAGATGATTTACAATAGGTTATTTACTGCACCATCATCTCTTTCATAGAAAAATTCCAGCATTTTTTACCACTCCTTCCTTTACCACTCCACTCCAGTGGAGAAAAGTATATTTTAGTTCAGTCCACTATGTAACTCCTTCTACCTGATCCTAACCTGTTGGTGCAGAAGAATTTCCAAGTTGTTACTCACAAAGTGTCTCTGTTCTGACATGGTGTAACAAAATTCTAAATTGTTAAAGGTTTTCTGAATATTCAAAAAATGAGTTATGGTTATAAATGATTCACTGTCCTCTAGAATATTTGGTGGTACTGATTCCCCTAGGTTAAAGAGGACTTCAAGGAAGTAGGAGAGAGGCATCAAGAATGAAGTATTATTGTTGAGGTTTATTGAAAGGAAAAAAAAAAAGTTAAATAAATCTCGGTTTAAGAAAGGCAGAAATACTGAATGGCGAAGATTTATTTTACGAACTCCAGTATCAGACTTGTTTTTACACTACCAGCCTGGAAATACTTAATGGAATGGCAACAGCTGTGTCACCAAATGCTGAAATTCAAATAAAACTTCTTTATGAGTTTTGCAGCATGAACTGGTGCTCCATGGTTATTTCAATTATACCCACATTTGGAATTTGTGGAGCGGTTATTTACTGTCTCTTTCAGTAACTTTGAATGATTGATTCTAGCGATGTGCTTTGGGTTTTATCATTCATTGAAACAGTTGAAATAGAGAAGATAATTATGTACACCGCTTGTGTATCTTTTTCAGAAGTGAGCTTTGGTTTTAGGTATAGTCCTAGGCTTTCTCGCTTGAACCCAGAAATCAAAAAATTGCTTGACTTGCATTGGGGCTCTGGCTTTTCTGGTTATTTTGTCATAAATATGTGAGTTTTCTAGTTTGCTAAATTAGAAATAATTGTATCTGTTCGCTTCTCAGTATTTTAAAAATCTGAAGATTAAAAAAAATAATTCAAATATAGCATGTACATGCACCTTCAAATACATTGAATTGAGTGAGGTTACTCAAGCATAAAGTTGCATTTGTAAACATTTATAGATTATGATCTAAATTTTAATATTATTTCCAAAGTTAAAACTATAATTTCAGGCACTTACAAATGTTTGAAGTCAGTCTGAAGGATAATAACAGAATATCTGGGTTACAGTTGAAAACAAACAGAATGTTATTATAGTTATTGATAATTAGTCCCATTTATGAAAAATTAAAGTATTTGCTTTCTTAGCAAGGTTTATGATCAGACCAATTTGGAACTTGGAAAATTGCCCATTCCTTTTATGAGAGCTTGTACTTGCATTGCTAACAGTCTCATAATTGCTTTTTCTTTTGGGGAAATGGAGGTGTTTTATAAGAAGGAAGTAGGAGCTGGCACAGCTGTAAAAGAGACTCCAGAGATTGAAAGAGTAAAGAAAAATCAACAGATTATTAGTTCGGTAAGTGTTATTAACATTAATTACGCTTATGTGCGTAAATACTCATCAAAAATTCTACAGTTTCATATCACACATGTCATTCAAATACTACTTCTCTGGATTTTGGATATAGAGCTCTATTCTGGTAGAGCTAGAGCTCCACTCTAGTGTAGTTCTGTGTCCGAAAGTAGAGTTTCAAATTGAAGCATCATGAAACGTAGGAAAAAAGTTTATATAAATATTTGAGGAAAGACTTCTGACTTTCAAGAGTGGGAAACATGAAATGTATTTCCTGATATGACAGAATGAATTGCAATTGTAATTTACAATTTAGAAAAATGTCACAAAATAGAAAATTTGTGATGTTCCTGTAGAGTCTGCATGTATTACACATCAAGAAGAGGAAAATTATGTCCAGGCTCAAGCTATGTGAAAAGCTGGAGGGTTTGTGCCTCTTTACATGCTGATGTCATGGTGATCTGTGGATCTGGTGAGACTGGTTCTGAATTGAAATTATTGTTTATCTATGGATGCTCAATGTCTTTGGCACATTAATGAGCAATTATAAATAAAGTATCAAAATGAGAGTTTTCTACAAGTAGAACGTGCTCTTCTAATAAATACATGGCAAAATGTGGAAAACAAAAGTGGAAAAATGACTGCCAAACAAGAAAACACTTGTAGCTGCATTGTTCACTTTTTTGGAATTTTTGGTGCAGAGTCCTCTGGGGCCATTTTTATGTTTGTGATGTGACTTTTCTGATGATTAGATGCGTTTTAAAAAGTAAAGTTTGAAAGTAATGCATAGGCATGACACTAGATTGTGTTTAAATATTAGCTGAAATCCAAATAAGTGTCTCTGGACACGTATTCTACTAAAATTTACTTGTTTACTGAGTAGTGTTAAATATGGCATTTCCCACCAAAGTAAGGTCAGGTAAGGAATTGCTATAAAAATTTAAAAACCTCACATTTTCCATGGAATTTTTCTCTGTGCCATCCATCACTTTTCATCTTGTCATTTTGAGTCACAGTTCAATGCAACCTACCACGGATCCTAAATCCTGAAGTAGTGTTTCTGGTTGGGAAGCTGAAGGTTGTCTTGATTTGAGGGTGGGTTTTTCTTGTTGTTCTTTTTGGGTTTTTTTTGTTTGTTTTCCCCCCCACCCTGTGCAATTACGGTTTTGGGGCTTTTTTTAGCCAGATTTGTACTGGTGTTCTAGAACAGAAGCCTAATTTCTTGCTACCTGTTTGATTTCCAGTTACTACAGACATTTATTTTGAGTGTAGTGGCACAGTTCAATGCAACCTACCACGGATCCTAAATCCTGAAGTAGTGTTTCTGGTTGGGAAGCTGAAGGTTGTCTTGATTTGAGGGTGGGTGTTTTTTATTGTTCTTTTTGGGGTTTTTTGTTTGTTTTTCCCCCCACCCTGTGCAATTATGGTTTTGGGGCTTTTTTTAGCCAGATTTGTACTGGTGTTCTAGAACAGAAGCCTAATTTCTTGCTACCTGTTTGATTTCCAGTTACTACAGACATTTATTTTGAGTGTAGTGACACACACACACACACACACAGATTTATTAGGGGTAGTCTAATGCTTTTTCTCGGCACACACGCACGCACACACACAGGTTTATTAGGGGTAGTCTAATGCTTTTTCTCGTTTTTCTTGTTGTTCTTTTTGGGTTTTTTTTGTTTGTTTTCCCCCCCACCCTGTGCAATTACGGTTTTGGGGCTTTTTTTAGCCAGATTTGTACTGGTGTTCTAGAACAGAAGCCTAATTTCTTGCTACCTGTTTGATTTCCAGTTACTACAGACATTTATTTTGAGTGTAGTGGCACACACGCACGCACACACACAGGTTTATTAGGGGTAGTCTAATGCTTTTTCTCGATACCTTTCAAAGTGAAATGGAAAAATAGTCTTTAGTGCACTTGCTGTTTTAGAAATCCTAAACAGTGGTGAAGAGGGGAAAACGAAAGGTGGGTCAGTGTGTTAGTAAACATGCTTGAACAAAAGCACATCAAGAGAAACACAAAGTGCACTAGTGGTTTAGTAGTATGATATAAGTAGCACGGCCTTTACCTTGCTAGTTTGTGTGCAGGGTTAATATTTTATAAAAGATACTTTGTTACATGGAGTGTATTTTAGATTAAGTCCTGCATAATATTTATTAAAAGTGTAGAATCCCAAATTTAAAGGCAACGTGCAAGAAAGTTTTAAATTGTATGTCAGTAAGAGGGAAATTATATTGTATAATTTACAGGAGTCCCAAAGGAAGGGTAAATTACACCAATTTTGACTCCATTAAATTTAAACATTTTACACGTATCTTTGAATTTGGCCAGGAGGACTCACGACAGCTTTAAAACTATTTGCTGAGCTAAATGAAACTGTGGAACGTGAAGCACATCTGCAGTGCAAAACAACCCGGAACACCAAACTGAAATAACACTCACTTTACAACCCAACCATGCAGAAAAAGTCCATTGCATCATATTCTGAAAGTGATCAGATTCTTCCAGATGACATATATTGGAGACAAAGATCAGAACAGTCTGTTTTCAAATCCTAAAAAACAAGGTGGTGACAGCCAAGAGGGTTGAGCTCATCTCACCTGTTGTGATGATTGGCTTGGAAGAAGCAGCCTCCTAAATATTTGGAATCCAGATCTCACACAGGTTTGAAAGTAAACACCAGACCCATGGACTGTAACTGAGTCTGAACTGAGAAGCTGCAAATAACTAAGGATTTTTTCAAAACTTTTTTATAATGAGGGACAAGCAGGGCTGGACACAGCACTGAGAAGAAGGCTTTTGGGGGAAGATGTGTTTTTGTTTGTGTGCAATCCATGAGGAAACGCCTGTGATATGTCAGTCAACACCACAGAGCTAGGGTCTGACTAAAACTCAAGCAATAGACATTTTGAAGCATTTTAAGGACTGGTAGAGCTGCCAATTCTTAAGCTTACCTAATAGTCTCTATTAAAAGACCCTTTTTTCCAGTGGTTTAATACTTCTGCCAGTCCTAAACTGTCTGGAATGAAATTTTCCATTCCTGGTTTGTGCTTTGGGCTGGTTTGGTCTTATTTATTTATTTATAATTTCAGCCAAAGCAGCTTCCAAGTATGAGCTTAGAGAAAAACAAGTTGTTTTGTCTGTGTTAAAAATTTGGCACTCTTCAGAAGTACCATGTATTGGAGAAGCGAGATGAAAATTATCTAAGTGACATTTGGTACAGTGGATTTGGGGGAAAAAAGAGTCTGGGGTAAGGAACTGAAAGTGTAGAAGGGCTTGGTGAAAGTGGACAGGCCAAATGTGGGGAAAGACAGGCAGATTGAGGTGCTCCTGTGCATAGGTGCTTCCTTCCAGAAGAGCTGAAACAGGACCCAAGTCATATAGACTCATCACTCCCTTGCTGTCAGCGTGTATCTGAAGTACCCTTGGTCAAATATTTTCCCTTTCTTTAATGGTGGTGTCCACAGAGGTAACAAATTACGATTGTTCTCACGGGTTTGGGCAGTCAATCTAAACAAACCACAAAGGGCTTAAGATGAAGGGGCACAAGAAGGAATGTACATCATGAGAAATTGTGTCCCCAAGAGCTACCTTTAGGGAGTAGTATTAAGGTCACTAAGTCAATACTCAAAAGCAAGAACCTGAATTCAAGTTCCTGTGTCTAGACCTGATGATCCGTTGCCAAAGTTTATGATTTTATACTTTGCCACGGAAGCAGACCTGCTCTGGTTTTGCATTTTGCAAACGTTCAATGGGAATTCTCTTTTGAATGCAGGTGCTGTATATTCCTATGGTTTTTAAAATTATGTAGCCAGATTAGCTGTTACTTTTCTGTGCCCTCTAGTAAAAATAGTACTTTTCCTTGTCACAATTCCCGTTTTTTCTCATTTCACAGCAAAATTAGTGAATTAATGTGTGTGAAAAACTCAGATGGTTTAGCGAGGAGCAACATAGAAAAGTTCCTGAAGAAATGTGTTATTCTGTCATCAAAGAAGGACCTTAGAGCAGTTAAATAAAAAAAAGCCCAACCATGAGTCATGGTCTGCATGTGAACTACTCACTAAGTAAGGGTCATTGATTGTGTGTAGTGAATTCTCTTCAGAGGCAGAATTCTCTTGAGCAAAGCAGCTTTTGATAATAGATAAGATTATAAAGCACTTAAAGAGGAAAATAATGAAGTAGTATAAAATATATTAAAATCTGGTTATGGAGCATATTTGTACAAAAGGCAAAACTAAGGTTAGAATTAAGTGAATTGTGTCATTTTCCGATTATTGAGACCTTGGTTTTGCAGACTTACAATGTATTTAACAGAAGTTTTGTATGCTGCATTAATATAAAACTGTACAAATCGATTCATTATACAGCTCCCTTGTTCTTAAAGTACTTTTCCTTCCTTGAGTCTTGCTAATGAAAAACGTTTCCAGCTATTATGTATTGCCACACACTCAATTTTGAATATTTTTATGAATTTTGCTGGTTTATTTCCATTGTAAAGAAAAAGAAAGCGTGCCGTATCCCTGTAATGGAAGGCATGGTCTGCAAGTATTGTTTATTTTACAGTGGCATAAGAGATTGGAAGCTGAATGTGCTGAATACTGGGCAAGTATTTAGTAACAGTAAAGCAAAAACAATACACAGATTTGTCCAAGATGACCCTTTTGGATAGCATATGGAAAACCAGAAAATATGATGCCTTTCTTTTTAGTACTACATCCATTTAACCTTACAATTCTTTCTTGTTAAATTGAATTCCAGTTTTGGTACATATGGTGTGTAATTGAAAAAATTCTAGTTCTGCGCATTTTTCAAATTATGGAGTCTACCATATCCAAACATACTGCTGTTCAGAAGAGATTAAATCTGGCGAAAGCAACAGTAAATATCTGACAGCATCTTCAAAGGCATTCTCCATCCAAACATCTGCATTCTCCCTGATGCGTCTCTGTGTTTTTAGAGAACTTGAATTGAGACTTTGAAGTCATCTTTTAAGGACACATCTGGGAAATGTTTGGTTTCTGAAATGGACTGGTAGACTCCATAGCAAGATAATAGCAAGACCAAGTAATTTGTGCAGCATCCCAATTAGCATGAAGATAGCCACAATCCCATCTGATGTGTATTCCCACTGTAAGAGTTTTAGGATACGAGGCTTGTTATATGCACTCTCTGCTGCGTGGCACCAAACAAGGTGCATTGGAGACTCTAGCAGCCTGTTTCAGAAATTGGATATAACTGTTTCCTTTCAGGTCACTAGTGTGGATAGGTGTGGTCTAGCTGTGCAATATGTGTAAGGGAGAGATTGCAAAATGCTTGTTGTGGTTTAGCGCTTGTCTGTATCATCTTTGATTGCTAATATTTTGTAATATTTATGGTGCAGATTAAATACAAGGAAGAAATTCAGCATGCAACAACTATTTCTGATCCACCTGAGCTAAGGAGAGTTAAGGAAAACCAGAAGAATATCAGCAATGTGTGTCTCATTTTCATTGCTTGCAGACTTCTCTCTGATTTATTACATGTGTTTGTGCCTCAGTAAATATGTCTGCGGTGTTTGTGCTAGTTCCTGTTTGTCTACACAGACTAATTTAATCAATTAATGGTAAAATGATAACTGCTTAGCCTTGCACTTTGATTAACATCAACGAGAGTGAAGTATTTGTATTGAAGTATCAGTTGTCTGTGTCTGAAATGGAAGAATTGGCAGAAGGTGGGTACTAAGCGTTGTGTGGAAAGATGTGGGTATTTATTAAGGAATGGTAATGCGGTGTGCTTTTTAATGATGTCTAACACGCTGTTGTATTTCTGTTACTCGAAAGTCTCTGTGTAACATCTTCTGCCACGTTTGCCAGGTTCAGTACAAAGAGCAGCTCTGCAAAGCCACACCTGTGAGTATCACCCCTGAGATCGAAAGGGTCAAGAGGAATCAAGAGAACGTCAGCATGGGAAGTTGCTCTCATTTAATCCTTTGTATAATTTTTAGTCGCAGAGGATGACTACAAAGTTTTGCCTTCAGAAGCTGTGCCTGTTCTTTATTAAAGTGAGGGCTCAGTAATGGAATTACTTGAAAACCCTGATTTAGAAAGCAATTGTGAAAAGCCATTGGTTTGGGAAATGGCACGTGAAGCATCACATATTCCACTAACAAAAGGGCTGTGATGTTTTGAAATGTTATTCTCTGTCTTGGATATTTGCAGGAAATCTTGACAGATTTTTTTTCTTTTTTTTTAAAACATAATATATTTTTCCATCTTTTTTTTATTATTATATTTGTAAAAAAAAAAATGGCTGTAGTTGTACTCAAACTCCAGCTTTTTTACTGGTCTCTCTTTTTGGTTCCTCAGTAGCCTTCCTATCAGTCTAATGGCTGACACAGCCATGGCCAGGACTTTTGGAGCGTGCTGCTGCCTTCCTCTGTTGATGAAGTTGTTTCATTAATGAGTCTTTGAGACCACCCACCCTCCTCGCTGGGAACGTCCATCACCAGCCATATTCCATGGTGCTACCAATATCTACAGTGATTCCCTGGGGTGTTTTATGCCACATTCCTCAAATTAATCTAGTTACAATTTTCAAGAATCATATATGCTATGTATTCCTGGATTTATGTTGATAAATCTAGCTCTTCTAAAATGCACGCTATTGAAAAAACCTGTTTTCCCACATGATTCAATCCAGTCTCAGTAGTTGTTCTATTTACATAGTTGTTTGCCTTTGACCAATTTTTGTGTTGTGCAAATTTCATTGGAAAGTTTAAATTCTCTTGTAGGTCACTGAAATAGCTTTGGAGGAAGATTCTTTAACTTCAGATGTTTTTAGAAACATGATGTCTTGAAAAATCATTTTGCCTTTACAAATGTCAGTTTGCGAGTTTAATCCATTTGATAGCTTACCACCATTTTTATAAGGTGTTAATTTTTCAATTGGAGTATGTTATGCTTATAAATATCTCAAGGGCGGGCGTCAAGAGGATGGGGTCAAACTCTTCTCAGTGATGCCCGGTGACAGGACAAGGGGCAATGGACACAATCTAGAACACAGGAAATTCCATGTCAACATGAGGAGAAACTTCTTTACTTTGAGGGTAACAGAGCTCTGGAACAAGATGCCCAGAGAGGTTGTGGAGTCTCCTTCTCTGGAGATATTCAAAACCTGTCTGGATGGGTTCCTGTCCAACCTGGACCTGCTTTGGCAGGTGGTTGAACTAGATGATCTCCAAAGGTCCTTTCCAACCCCTACCATTCTGTGATTCTGTGCTGTGGACAGACCAAAACTATGTTGTGTTGGAAAGCAATTGCTGTGGACATATCAAAACTATGTTGTGTTGGAAAGCAATTGCTTGAACAATATGTGCATTGCTCCCACAGTGCACTACAGAATCATGAGCACAGTTTATCAGCACAGTTTGTATTTGGGGCCAGGGTTAACATTAGACTGATTGGTCTATCAATGCCACATCCTATCCTTTATCTGCTTTAGATGCTGACCCTGCCTTGTGTGTGCATTTGGTTAATGCATTGTTGCTACAAACGTATTTTGTTAAAAAGCAATAGAGGGGATATTCCTACAGTACATTTAAATAAGCACATGGTGAAATTTAGGCAGTTTTATTCATTGGCAGTTGCCTGATGTATTGCACCCACTGTGTTTAATCACCTTTCTATATCTAGAGTATAAAAGCTAGAACATTGATGGTTTCCTTATGGAATCTATGTGTCTGGGTAAACATACATTTACACTGGGCATTGCTGAAATTGAGTTTTTCATGTGCTCTGCCTGACTTTACTGCATTATTTGTGATTTACTCCATTCCAAATATATTTCTGTATCCAGCCAAGGACCAGTGTGGTAAATGTCAAGATGTTGTGTGCCTATGTGTATATATATCCAGACAAATGCATTAATAGGAATGCTATACAGAAAGAATTCAAGGTTATGCTTCAAAAATCAAGTTTTATAGGCTTTAATAAACTTCAAATGCATTTTAGCTTTTCAGTTGTTTCCTGTATGACCTTTTAAATCATAAATTTTAATGTAAAACAATGTGATGTTCCTCTGGCTGAAATAGTATGTACCATTTGATTCTGTTAAATAATAGGTTCACTACAGAGAGCAGCCTGGCAAAGCTACTGCTGTGAGCGTCACTCCCGAGATAGAGAGAGTCAAGAAGAATCAAGACAATATCAGCTCGGCAAGTTGTTTGAATCTTTTTGTCATTTAGATTTTCATTCCTTGCAGGAATCTAAGAAGGATATGCTTTTCCATTTAGATTTGATGTGTCAAATGAATCCGACTGCATCATCCATTGGGTGGATTTTATTTTTTTTTTGTTCTTTGAGTACATGCACTGCACGTACAGGCAACAAAAATATTTAGACTTGCCTGATTATTCTTGCAAAAAAGTAAGTGGTTGTGTTGGTGCAAGTATTTTTCAAGAAGGCAGTCAGTAGAGGTTAGTCATTCTTTCAAGAACCTTGGTCTCTTGTTACCAAGTTTTGGTTGCTAGGTTGCAGGAGTAGATTGCAGGTAAGAACAAAGGAAATGAGAATTTAACTTTAGTGCAAATGTCTTTTTTTTTTTTTTTTTTTTAATGGTTCAAAGCATGGAAGTATATAGTCATTCATTCCACTCTGCGACGTGCCACCTGTCTCAGAACTGAGTAGTTGTAAGTAAGTCCTGTCCTAATGTCCTTAGTGTTTAGTCTTAAGCACTAAAGACTAAAATACTGGTTTTTTTCTTGGCTTTTATGATAATACTTACTTTTTTTTTTTTTTTAATTGCCACTACATGTAAGAAGCAGCAGATAGTTTTAATCAGGAGCAAAGAAGAAATCAAAACAGCGTGGTGAAGTAAAGGACCAGAGTAGTTGCATTGCAGTCTGTGTCCTCAACCCTGAAACAACATTAGGGCCAAAGCTCCTGCAAGCAGTAAATAGAACAGGTTTCATGCAGAGCCACTGTTTCAAGGTGGCAGAAAAGAATTAATAGTGGTGAATGCTTTAGAACTGAGTGTAGGAGTGAAAAGTAAAGTAAGTTGGATTTGTCAGGGGATTTGTCTAAGGCAAAGGAGCGAATCTGACCTTGGAACTACGTATGTCTTAAGGATATTCTTAAAATACTCATGCATATTTACCAAAGTCAATCAGTCTTGAGGTGCATAGTTAAAAATAAGAGGAAAACTACCCAACAGTTCTTTCAATGTCAATATTTTTTTTATTTCTGAAAATGAAGCTTTTTTTTTTTTCCCAAGTGACTCCTTTACTTTGTTTCTCAAGATTTACAGGCATAAATACTTCTCTATGTTAATAAGCAGTGGATGAAACCCAAACTGTTGGCTGTAATTATCCTGTCCAGACAGTGACCTATGTATAGCATATGTAGCTGAATATATTTGCTAAGAAAATTTACTGTTTAATAAAGAAGGGTTTGAAGAATATGTAGTACCATATAATTCTGTTTCTCTGTATGTTACTTCAAACTTACATATGAAACAGATATCAAGACTCATATTTGCCTAGGTATGTTGTGCTTAGCTAAGATGAAATTTTAAGGAGGTTTAGACAATTTCAGTACTTGGTATGTGTCAGCACAAATGCATGTTGAAATAGATTTGCACAGCTGATTTGAGAAGTAATACTTTGAGTGTGAATATATAGGTAAATCTAAAATATTTTCTAACACTCAGTGCACAGGTTACAATGCAATGAAGGAGCTAAGAGGGTCTGTTAGTAGAAGAATTCAACCAGCCAGAAGAACCTGTAAGAATACTTGCTCTAGAACCAACGAGTAGGACCAACTACTTGTACTGGTTTACAATTTTGAGTATTTTTTTTGAAACAGGTAATTAACCTTGCATCTTTATAAGTCTGTAAAATACCACAAAAGGAGCTAATAAGAAGAAATGTGACATAGGAGGTTCTCAAATGTTCTCTTTGAAAACAACATATTCTGATTTGTGCCAGACGTGTTGCTTTTGTGCTGCTGGCAGTGACCTGGCTACTGAACAGGAGTTAAAAGGCTGCCAAAGGAATAATCTGCCATAAAGGTTGAATTCCCTGGGGAACCACAGGTTCTCAGCTAATCCACACCTGAAAGGAGACTAAGGACACAATCTGGGTCTGTCTGGGTAATAAGAAGTTAGTTTATCATCAGCTGTTCAAATACGTTTTACAGATGCCCGAGTCACAGTGGTGTTTTCTTATTAAACTTGTTGTCTTATTTTTCAGTTGATAAATGAATTTTTTTCATTTATGTCATTTAAACAGTCAAGAGTTTCAGCTTTCAGGTAAATACTATTTTCTTGAGTGATTGATGGAATAAACATGCCCTTTGGCCTTACCAATATACTGGCTTATCTGAATCCTCTGAAATAAGTTACTAGAAAATGAGTATAAAGAAATAAACAAGAAAAATGTCAGGAATTGTTAGTTGCAAAGGATACTGTTGCATGATGTGAGTCTCACCATCCATTCTACTGTAAATAAAAACTTCATGTGTGCTGTTGTTGCTGTTTTGCAGGTCAAGTACAGCAGTGAGCAGAGGCAGATGAAAGGTAGACGTAGTGTGCTTCTAGACACACCTGAGCTAAGACATGTCAAAGAAACACAAAACAACATCTCAATGGTAGGGTACTTTCTTCCTATAACTAGAGTATACTAAGGAATGGCACTTGACTTCCACTGGATTTTGCCTCCCGTTAATATAGGTAACTAATGAAACTCTCTGCTCAAGTATGGAAGGAATATTTTCTTCTTATGCCTGTGGAGGGAGTGTTTGCTAACTGCATATGACTGTAATGAACATTTTCAAAATACTAATAAACAGTTTTCTAACAGTTAAATGTCTGTTCTTTTGTTTCATTTTTTTTTTCTTTAAAAAAAAGTACACACCTCATTTGAGCATCACATAATTTGACTGGATTAGGTGACACACTTCACCTTGTGCCTGTGCACGTTCCTGGTTTCTGTGTGACTTTTGTTCTTGGAATGAGTTGTTTTGTGTGCATTTGCTTGCGTGAGAATGTTTGTCAATTTAATTCTTTGATGATTAAGACAATTAAAAAGTAAATATGCATAATCAGGGGTGCTACTTTCATAACTCTTACTAATACTGGTTTTGTTCCAACACTTGGTTATATAACACTTTCTACCCTAATGTCCTTGGTCCTTGTTTTTAATTTTTTTTTTTTAAAAGCAGGCTGCTCTAGAATAACTGCAATTCTTTTTTAAAAACCTCTGTTTAAAGGCAGCTGGCTATGATAACACAAAAGTGCAAAAGAGTACCTTTTATATGAAACTGTGTAATCAAAATACTCAATGAAAATACTTGAGTTCTTTAGAACTATTGCTGCTGGAACATTTTTTACTGGCAGATGTAGGTGTCTCCATCAGTAGAGAGCTATCCTATCTTAGAGAAGAGGATACCAGGTAACCTCCTGAGGGCCTTTCCTGTCCTGTGTGACTGTAAGATGCTGCTTGAGTTAATGCCTAATTCAGTGGCAAAGGAAATCATGCAAAAATGATAATAAAATATCAGGAAATCAAGACAGGGAGATAGAAAAGAGTTGACCAGCCATCCAGCCTGTCTCATCTGTGTAACAATTATGGTGCAACTCCAAAGAATATAAGTGCCTCATAAAGCAAACACGTACGCAGTCCTGCATAGAACAACCATTTGCTGGCAATTGCAGCTTGGGGAAAAATGTAATTCTTCTTGTTTTCCTAGGTAAAATACCATGAAGATTTTGAGAAGACAAAGGGCAGAGGCTTCACCCCGGTGGTAGATGATCCTGTAACAGAGCGTGTGCGGAAAAACACCCAAATTGTGAGTGATGCAGCATATAAAGGTGTGCATCCACATATCGTTGAAATGGATAGAAGACCTGGAATAATTGTTGGTAAGTTGTTAAATACTGTTGCTATTGAAAACATTGTGGGCAAGATGAAAGCCTCTGCTTGTGTTCTCTATTGTAACCAAGAAAAAGTACTCCCAGATTTCATTTTCACTCTTTTCTCAGCATGAAACTTGTGTTGAACTACTGGGTCAAGGCCAGATTCTAGTAAAGTTAAAATGGGAATGAATGGGACATATGGTATCATTTGCTCTGTAATATTTTTTTTTTTAATAGAGATAATCACTGTTTAAAATTTGAATTTTGACTCTTCAAGGAAGGCCAAAACATCTGCAATAATCTTCATTTTGCTCAGGAGATGATTAAAGCTGTGATCCTCCAAGATGTCAATGTTTAAATGTTGCAGACCAGTTTGAGATTTCACCTGCTGCCAGTCAGCATTTTCTCCAGAGCTGCACATGCTCCTTTTACCTGTTGTTTTAGAATTTCACACAGCTTTCAAAATATCTCAAGCTATAATTCATCAGTTCATTCGTTGGATCTCTGGTAAGCCAAACACCAGTGTTCAGAAGGGATGTTCTAGAAGATGGTCCAAGAATAAGACCAGGTATTCAGGGGGTAGAATATTGGTTTTGTATGTAGAGACAGAATATTAAGCATTAAGATATCATTTGGGGTACTCAAATGCCAGTTCAAAATCACAATGAATATTTGAAATCTCATAAAAGTTAGCAAATCTGCTATGGCAAAGGAAATGGTAACCTGACATTTTTATTTTTTGTTCCTTTTTCTTCTGGTGTGCCCTTTTCCTGTTTTTTCTGTGATTTACAGCACTGTAGACCCTCAGTCTGCTATAGCAAAGGAAATGCTAACCTGACATTTTTAATTTTTGTTGCTTTTTCTTCTGGCGTGCCCTTTTTCTGTTTTTCTGTGATTTACAGCACTGTAGACCCTTGCATATGGAAAAACATGCTGAGATAGCACTCTCAAATCCTTCATACGTAGTAATAACAGCAAGGGTTGACTTAGTCTACCTCTCAAAAATCTGAGAGACTGCAGGTCAGATGGACCAATCAGTGGGTCATATAGTCCATCCTTCTGCCTAAAGCAAGATTAACTGTATCTATATCATCCCTGGCATCCCTTCAGTCTTTTTCTTAAAGTCTCCAAGTGAGTCTCCACCACATAAAGAAGTGCATTTCTTTCCTTTTGTATAGCCAACTTTTACATGTTTGTAACTACAACCTTATGTCGGGAGGGATTTCACCAATGTGAGAAGGTGAGATTTCTCTGCCCGGGGAAGGTAGTGATGCTTTTAAGACCATGCAAGTCTAAGAGGGTTACACATTCTGCATCTAGGGCAACAACTTGTTCAGGAAACCATTGTCTGTAGATACCCAAGCAGTTGAATTCATTTCTGTATCTAGAAGTGGTACAGCCAAAGAGAGAGAGAAAAGCTCCTGCAAAATTGCAGTTTAATACAGAGTTTGCAATGTGCTGTTTAGTGCACTTCCAACCTCCCACTCTGTGCTGAGTTTCGCATGTGCCATAGCCCTGTGCAAGAATCATGTGTTCAATAACTAAGGGCATGCCAGCCCTAATCCCAACAGATTAGGATTAAGAACATCGCTGAGATAAATTCTTGAGCTGTAAGTAGCTGAAATATTTGTAGTTTATCACCTTAAAATACTCCAGTGTCAAAACACACGGGAATTCCTAACTTCCCTTGCCCACCAAACAGCAAAAATAGCACAGCTATTTAAAGGAAAGAGACCATGACATACCTGTGAGCCTAATATCCACTGATATTTCACCTAATGTTTTTTCAGAGTGAACTGCAATTATAAAATCTGTTTGTTTAAAACGAAGCAGTGAGCTCCCTGCTTGTGGAATGTCCTTGGCAGTTAGAAAAAAAAAAAAAAATCACAGACTGAAAAAAACAACTATGACTCTCTTGAGTTTTTTCCTAGCTGATAATTGTTTAGCCAGTTAGGAAAAGTACTTCTCTGTTAGAAGTTCGTCTGGCTGTTTTTTAAAGTATTATCTGTGAAGCTGTAACAACTTTTTCAAATGCCTGATTGCTAAAATTAATGCCTCTGCTTTGGAAAATAGGCACTAGTTTTAACTAAAGCCATTCTAAACCCATCAAGATAAATGAATCTAACTGAGTTTTGGATCTGCGACTAAAGAACCTCCATAATTCTGATGTGACTATAAGGATATTTTAAATTGGCAAAAGTTACCAGGAAGTTAAAATTGATTGGTGTTATAAATTGCCAATGTTCTGTTTCTATGTATGTTATTTCAGATTAAAGGGATGGATAAAATCAGTACAAATCAGTGGCTGCTGCACTGGTGCTGCCATGAAGCCTTACTTACTATGTTTTTACTTACTAAGGCGTGATCAAACAGGAAACGTTGGGCATTCACCAGTTCCCCACCCCTCTCGTGCCTGTCAGTGCTTTATGTAGTTGCATAATTTATCACCTTTAGGACTAACACGTAGTTTATCAAAAGATTTTTGCGTTGGCTTGTATGCATCTTGTCAAGAGGGAGTTAGCACTGTGCCTTACCTTATGGGAGTTGCAGTAGATAACACATAATGTACATACATTGAATGTATTCTAAAGCCATGGGATTTACTTTATTAGCTCTGTCTGTTCTTTCCATTGCCTGTAGGCTATTAATCATTTAAAACTTGACATATTTGGGGTCCCCACAGTCTTACTTTACCTACCAACCCATTATTTAGCTTGGTACCGCTCAAACCAGCAAAAGGACAAAGTTGGGAAGACAATTATTTTTCCCACTTTCAATGCAATCAGTAAATCTTGCAGACAGGTCTGCCCAAAAAACAAACCACTAGTAAAAAGGTGTGACAAGGTAGATTTGTGCTTTAACTGATTGTACTTTACATCACGGTTTTATTTTAAACTGGTTTGGAGAGATTAAATGATTATTGTCTTTTTAGACAGGGAAGATCTGAATTGCATATATTAGATTGACGTGAGTAGATCAAGAATATACACTATAGTTGCTTCTGCATTTGTTATAAGCCCCCTCTTAACTTGTACAACACTGTAATTATTTGTTAAATGTTTGTTAATAACATGGTTGAATCTGTATTCACATTTCTGCTGTGATTATAACTTAACCTCAGATATAAAATTTATTATTTCTTATGGGCTCTTTTTTCTTCCAATATCCAGTTCAGATGTGAATCTAAGAGAGATTGATAGCTTACTTGTATGAATTAAAACTGAAAATATTACAGTTATTCTGTTATTGAATCCATACGTTGAATTCCAAAAATGCTTTTTGATAGTGGGGTAGTGGATCCACAGTAAGTCTGTGTCCCAGGAAACTTAGATATTTTGAAGACAAAGGGAATTGCTGGTTTCAAGAGTGGGCTTCATTTTACCCAGCTGTAGATGTCTACAATGTAGATTTCTACAGCTAAATTTGTCACCCTAGTCCATTTTTTCTATTAATTGAGAAAGATGGATACTTTACAGTTTATCTGAATTCCACAACTTGTAGAAATTTGTAGTGGATAAGATGAACTATGCCCCTGATTCTGCCTGTTGGGCTGACTTGATCTCTGCTGCACGCAAATGAAGGTCTGTAGCACCTCTCTCAGCTGTAGAGGTGTCCACTGCCAACTGTCAGCTATAGGGATATATAAACTGCAGCGTCCCCGTGGAGTAAGGATGCTGTTGGTGGACTAGGGAAATAATGTGGATCTGATGATGTACTTTACACAGTTTATCTGAATGCCACAACTTGTAGAAATTTATAGTGGATAAGATGAACTATGCCCCTGATTCTGGCCTGTTGGGCTGACTTGATCTCTGCTGCACGCAAATGAAGGTCTGTAGCACCTCTCTCAGCTGTAGAGGTGTCCACTGCCAACTGTCAGCTATAGGGATATATAAACTGCAGCGTCCCCGTGGAGTAAGGATGCTGTTGGTGGACTAGGGAAATAATGTGGATCTGATGATTTTGGTTCTTCTAGTGGAAAAGAGCTCTGGTATGTGATATTTAATTTGTTTCCATTTACTTAGACTTAAGAAAATGCTAGGGTCGTATTTAGAAAAGGAAAACAAAAATTGGAGGAGAAAGTCTCCTAAAACAAATGTCAACACTGAAAATGAATAGACTAAGTTCTTTTAAGCAGGAAATTAATGCTTTCCGGTCCTTTCAGGTGAATATCTGTATCTCTGTATTTATAGGTATATATCTAGGTAACTTCTAGATGAAGGAAATTGGTTGCTGATTGTTGAAACTCATTCCTTTCATGCTTTTACTTCCTTTGTTGTTTGTCTGTCTTACAATTTCTGTGCTTTGGGAAAAGATCTTAAAGTTTGGCGCACAGATCCTGGCTCCATCTTCGACATTGATCCTCTGGAGGACAATATTCAGTCTAGGAGTCTGCATATGCTTTCTGGTATTGCTTATATCCTGACTTTTCCTCAATTCAGCTTTTTATGTGTATGAAACTAAGTCAGTACAGTAAATTTTCAGGTCAATGTGCCTGCCATATGTTCTATAAGTATATTTTCATATATATATATTTTCATATACATATATATAACTAGTATTTTAAAAGCAGTGTTTTATAGGAAATTCAGCTGTAATCACAAGGACAGATAAGAAATAGTGAAATAAATCTTATCCTAAACAACAGTTATTCATACCACTTACAAGTTGTCACTTAAAAAGCATTGACCTAATTTGTTCTCACTGTAAGTAGAATTTTCAAATAGTTAGACCTTACTAAAATTTCACAGAGAGATTGTGGCCTGTTTCTGAAAATGATTTCTGTGAACATTTTGCTTATATGGCACAAGATATTTTGCCTTGTGCTGTTGTTTTCAGCTCCAAGGTGTTCATAATCTAAGGGTAGATAGAAAAGGAGAGAAGGTAATGTAATAATAAGCAGCAATGTTTTCTGTCCACAAGTTTTAACAGATTTTTTTTCTTCCTAGAAGTGTTTATTTTGAATATTTAATTTTCCACATGTATTTTCTTTGCTACTAATACTATAGTAGCAAAGTTAATACTATATAGTTATACTATAACAATACTTTAAATATTGTTTTGAATATCATACAGCAGTATTTCCGCATGCCACTCATATGCATGCTGGGATAAAGGAACATTTTGATTTTCCACTGGAAATTTTAATATGCTTCATCTTCCTCCCTATTTTTTCCAGTATCTCAATCCTACCTTCAATTTTTGCTATTCTTTTAAAGCAGAGGACAAGTTTAATTGGACCTGGTTTTGAAGCAACCTTTTGAACTGATGGTGTTCAAAATGGATACAAAATTGCGAACAATTCACTTGTCTCTAATTTTAATGCCAGTAGTGTTTGAATTTCAGTGTTAGCAGTGTTGGGGATTTTGTTGTTGCTTGTCTTTGCACTTCTGTCATCTATTTACTGTGATATTCTTTCTTTCTTTCTTTCTACCTTTGTAGAAAGAGCAAGCCGTTACAGTAAGCAGTATTTACATTCTACCAGTTTGGGAGATTATAAATCAGATGGCTCTGACACGAACCCTACATTTTCTTACTGCAGTGAGCTAACGAGGCCATCTGATGAAGGAGGTACCCCTTACTCCCACCTTTTTCACTAATGACACTCCCCCAGTGTGTTGAGACCTCACAGACCCGTATTAACGCCGTATCCTTGCGTAGTCACAAACCATTAGAAACTAGATCAGCTGTTGCCTGATTGAAGGAAGCAAAGCAGAATCTGAAGACTGCAGTTCCTTGCATGCCATATTGGTTTATCCCGTATTCTCTTTCCCCGTGTGGTAACGCTCTCAGTCTGAAAGCTCTACTAACTCCCATTTACAGGGCTTGAGAGATGATGTGTTGCGTTTCTGCAAAATGCACATGAATCTGTTTTTGTTTTTCTCTTGAAAGACACGATGTAACTAAAAACATACACCTCTGAATGTAAAAAAAAAAAATTTACCTTGTGCTTCTCGGTGGACAAATCAAGCATATAATAGTATTTTAGTGAGTGAAGTACTACTTCCCACATTAAACTCTGCAGGTGCTTGTGACTCTCTGTTTCCATCCTGATAAAAGTGTATCAACTGGCAAATTTCTCACATATGAAGGTTTTCTTTTACTCTCAACAGTTTAGGAACTAGGGTTAATATTCAACTGGGAAGTTGATATAGTCTGATGATGTTTAACGTGGATTCATATTAGAATGCTTTGATGAACCTCCCAGGTACAAAACCACATCTTGCATCTGTTTGATGCCATAGGTTAGAACAAAGTATTTGAAAATGATGAATAAGTGTCTAGTAATCCTAGTGGCATTACAGTGCGTACTAGACAACTGGTGAATTGTAAATATTCAGAAACGCCGCATTCTAAAGCTATGTTTTTTAAAAATAGTGATTTCTACTTAGTTGTTAAAGAAGGTGCATTGAAAAGGTTATCCAAAGGGTTACTATATTTATTTTTTTTTAAATAAGGTGTTAGAGTAAAGATGTTGCTACGATTTAGTTGCCTGGCATCCTTGAATTCTCTATGCTTTTATACTTTAAGGCACCTTAATTGTAGACTGTGCCTGTTTATGTTCTCCCACTCACCAGAGTAACAGGTTATTGTTTAGGGAGTCTATGTCGTGTCAGGAGCCACGTAAACACATACAGGCAGCTCTGATTAGGAAAAGGATAAGGAAGAAAGTGTTCAGACTGAAGAACCAACTCTGAACAAAGAAAGAAACACATGTCTGTCCATCTTTATTTGCTATTTTAACTCTATTCCCAACTCCTTTCATACATGATAGCAATAATGTACATCATGCTGGTTTTTATGTCTCTTCCTGTGATGATGCAAAGTGGACTTCACAGTCCAGTGCATATTGCCTCTCTGTATCTGTTCTGATCTTTTTTGGCTCTATTCCAAGCCATTTTCACATTGCTTTGTCAGCTTGATTTGATTGTTAACAGATATTTTTTATTACTTGCCATATTGAGAATAGGAAATGGGCTTTATTTTCCCCTGTTGTTTTGGCACTAGCAAGCTTGCTTTTTGTGTCTCTATTTAAATCTATTGTTGTGGTGATGTGTTGAATAGATCCTTGCCAAGACCAACATATTTTAGCAAGATACTGTTTCTGCTTTTGACCCAGCTGGCTAGCCAGGGTTGGAGCACTTGCAGACAGTTCCCATTGCAGGGGAGAAATAAATGCCAGTGCTAAGTAATTTGACATAATCCTAATGTTTTACAAGAAAATGCCATTTCTGTGAACACAGAAAAAACCAGCAGAAGATAGCGACTTTGTTCAAAAATACCAACCTTTTTCATGGCAGCATCCCATCTAAAATGTGGTTTAACACATAGCCCCAAGGTGAGTTTGCCCTTGACTGTTACAGAGTATCTCTTATGGCATACCCCTGTAAATGAGAGCCATTTTTTTGAGAATTCTTGTCTGTTTCTCGTGGAGTTTGTACTTTTAGATCCAGCAGCCTTTCTCACTGGCAATTGTTCAAGCTAAGGGCATGCCAACATGAAGGGCAGTTAGAGACCTGTGACCAATTTTACATCCCCTAAGTGTCTTTGGCCTTGTCTCATCATCTTCCAGTTATTTCTATGTTGTTAAATTGCTGATTTATTCTAGATACCTTTACTAATATTTGACCCACAATTAAGTCTTCCACTGCCATTGCTGATGGACCTGTTCCTTAACCACCTCTCCAGCTGTTAGCTGGGTTCCTGGCCTCATACCAGATGTTAAAAGCTTATTTAGATCTAAATAACTCTCTCTCTTGTCTTTGGGGAATTTCAGTAACGGCATCACAGGGAGGTTACTAACATTGTTCACTAGAATTACTTCTTCCTATTTGATTCCCTGACCATCATTTTAGATGATGAAGTAGAGCTGAGGCAAGTGTGCCAAGCATCACAGGGAGGTTACTAACGTTGTTCACTAGAATGACTTCTTCTCATTTGATTCCTTGACCTCAACAGGCTGGATCCATGGGCTGAGACCAATGGGATGAGGTTCAACAAGGCCAAGTGCCGGGTCCTGCACTTGGGTCACACCAACCCCCTGCAGCGCTACAGGCTGGGGGCAGAGTGGCTGGAGCTGCTTGGCAGAAAAGGACCTGGGGGTGTTGGTCGACTGTCGGCTGAACATGAGCCAGCAGTGTGCCCAGGTGGCCAAGAAGGCCAACAGCATCCTGGCCTGTGTCAGGAACAGCGTGGGGAGTAGGACCCGAGAGGTGATTGTCCCCCTGTACTGGGCACTGGTGAGGCCTCACCTCGAGTGCTGTGTCCAGTTTTGGGCTCCCTACTACAAAAAAGACGTAGAGGTGCTGGAGCGGGTCCAGAGAAGGGCAACAAAGATGGTGAGGGGTCTGGAGAATAAGTCTTATGAGGAGAGGCTGAGGGAGCTGGGGGTGTTCAGCCTGGAGAAGAGGAGGCTGAGGGGAGACCTTATTGCTCTCTACAACTACCTGAAAGGAGGGTGTAGAGAGGTGGGGGTTGGTCTCTTCTCCCAAGTCACAGGCGACAGGACAAGAGGGAATGGCCTTAAATTGCGCCAGGGGAGGTTCAGGCTGGATATTAGGAAAATTTTTTTCACTGAAAGGGTCATCAGGCATTGGAATGGGCTGCCCAGGGAGGTGGTTGAGGCACCATCCCTGGAGGTGTTCAAAAGACGGGTTGATGTAGTGCTGGGAGATACGGTTTAGTGATGGTGATGCTTCTTGTTTGTTGTGTGGGTGTTTATTTTTGTCAGTTAGGTTGACGGTTGGACAAGATGATCTTTGAAGATCTTTGAGAATCTAGAAGATTCTGTGATTCTGTGATATGATGAAGTAGAGCTGAGGCAAGTGTGCCACCCAGGCATCTTGCCCTACAAAATCAGTAGATTTTTGCATGATGTAAGTTCAGGTAAATCCCTGTTCTCCCTTTTAGACTACTGCAGGTAAAACTGAATAGGAAACAATTGTTAACGCTTTCTGGGAGCTTGGTGCAGCTGATGAACTTACGTTTTGATACTCCTTTTGAAATTAATTTTCAGCTTTATCTGTCCTTTTTGCAGCTTCTCTCTGATAGTGTTTTTCAAGGTTGACTTTATTACTTTGTAGTATCATACAAAAAAGACGTAGAGGTGCTGGAGCGGGTCCAGAGAAGGGCAACAAAGATGGTGAGGGGTCTGGAGAATAAGTCTTATGAGGAGAGGCTGAGGGAGCATTGTGTCTGACAAGTTTCTCAACTGTCTTTTTTTCTTTTTTTGAGTGTTTTTATAAAGTCTTTTCTGTCTGTCCTGATTTTCTGTGCAGTCTTACACACTGTTTTTCTTCCAGTTCTTTTCACACTCACTCATTTGCTCCGCTTCCTTTCCTACAAGTAAGGTCCCATCCTGTTAGTTTGCATTCATGCACCAGGAGAGGATGATCTGGTTCATATGGCTCAACACCTTTTCCAGTCGTGCATTATTTTAGACAATTATATTTGTATTTCAGCCATCTACCCTATGAAGGAGATGAATTGCTTTTACATATAGCTCCCACTTATGTATAATCATAAAGTTTTCAGTGGCTGGTGACAGAAAGGAACACAGATATCACCTTATTGGACTTCTTGGATTCATGGTCTCAACAGGGTTTCTCAGAAGTTGTGCTAAAGCATGTATTTTTATGAAGGTATCTTATCCAATTTTATTGTCTTCATATAAAATGAATCTACCATCTTCTGCTAGTAATTAACGTCAGTAAGTGAAAATGGCATGATCTCACACACTCATGGCTCAAGGCTCTATTTAGATGCATTCCCACAAAGGTAAGAGTAAAAATGCTTGGAAGTAGCACAAGTTCACAAAATTGGAGACTTTTTTTTAAGACTTGTTATTTTAAAACATTTTCTACATATATTCTTCTCAGTACTTCCATCTCCGGAGACTGAGGCGAGGAAAGGACTGTTTAACACCTGAGTGTTAATATGATGTCAGATACAGAAATGAATTTGTGGTATATGATCCAGTGCCAATCCCAGAAACCAAGCTCAGTTGCTCAAAGCTGTGTGTGTGCAGGTACAGACAAAGAGTGGCAAGATAAAGTGAATTCTGGTTTAGGTTTAAAATATCAAATAGCCTAAGTCTTTGAGAGCACAGAAACTTGGCCTTGAGGGATTTGACCCAGTGTCTACAGGGGTCCCTCAGCTATTGCTGGGACAAATGCCAGGCTTTGACACGATGGCAGGGAAGTGGCTTATGCATTTATGTGTTACTGGAGCACTGTGTCCTGATGAGTGCCTAGATGATAGTGGATGAGCCATGGCACTACCATTCTTGTCGCTTCTGTCTTTGGCCCATTTTGAGGTGAAGAATTCCTCTTACTGTGTTTGGGATGACAAGACCCACCTGCGCCAAAGGGTATCACTGTTATTCTCATTTCACTGTTATTTATTCATTCTCTCTCTCTTTTATTATCCCTTTTAGACTACTGCAGGTAAAACTGAATAGGAAACAGTTGTTAACGCTTTCTGGGAGCTTGGTGCAGGTGATGAACTTACGTTTTGATACTCCTTTTGAAATTAATTTTCAGCTTTATCTGTCCTTTTTGCAGCTTCTCTCT